AGGGCATCGTGGGAAGTCATGAGAACCACCCAGGCTTTTATTTGTATAGATTAGGGGTGTCAAACTCAATCAGAGAAGGGGCCAAAATCTAAAATCCAGCCTAAATCGCGGGCCGAATGGTTTACTGAACAGTCATAAACTGTCATTGTGATAGAAACGCAGCGGAGTGCAGTGATGACAGCGCGGTGCGGGCCACATTGCAAGACCTGGCGGGACGGATTTGGCCCGCGGGCCTTGTGTTTGACACATGTGGTATAGATGAATGATATTAAGAGGCTGATTCAATAAGTTTTAAACCAAAAAGGTAAATAATATTTAGAGGAAATTGTGGGCATGTACACACACACACACACACACACACATTGCTTTTTAAAATCTTTAATAACTTTTTGCTTCCTTCTAATCAATTTAAGAAGTTTAGAATTTGGGACCAGTGTGTTCAAAACGCCTTCTTAAGTGTGCCAATGGGCATTGGGTTAATTTTGGAAATACCCTTTTTTTTTTCATGCTAACTTACCTGCTGTTTTTAAAATGAATGGAGAACAAACTACAACAGCAAATCAAAGTTGGGTAAAGAAGAGCATGAATTGATTGTACACCCTGAAAAGGACATCAGGGATGTGCGTACTTGTTACCCTCCTCTCTGTAAAGTGGGGAGGAAGAGGAGGAAGAAGAAGAAGAAGAAGAAGAAGAAGAAGAAGAAGAAGAAGAAGAAGAAGAAGAAGAAGGCGGTGAAGAAGAAGAAGAAGAAGGGAAACAAGAACAAGAATAAGAACAATGAGAAGAATGAGAAGGAGGAGAAGAAGAACAAGAAGAAGAAGAACAAGAAGAAGAACAAAAACAAAAACAAGAAGGAGAAGAAGAACAAGAACAATGGAGAAGAATGAGAAGAAGGAGAAGAAGAACAAGAACAATGGAGAAGAAGGAGAAGAAGGAGAAGAAGAACAAGAACAATGGAGAAGAATGAGAAGAAGGAGAAGAAGAACAAGAACAATGGAGAAGAATGAGAAGAAGGAGAAGAAGAACAAGAACAATGGAGAAGAATGAGAAGAAGGAGAAGAAGAACAAGAACAATGGAGAAGAAGGAGAAGAAGGAGAAGAAGAACAAGAACAATGGAGAAGAATGAGAAGAAGAACAAGAACAACAACAACAACAAAAAGGAAGAGGAAGAGGAGGAGGAGGAGAACAACAATGAGGAGAAGAAGAACAAGAACAAAAACAAAAACAAGAAGAAGAACAAGAACAATAAGAAGAATGAGAAGAGGAGGAGGAGGAGGAGGAAGAGAAGAAGAAGAACAAGAACAAGAACAAGGGAGAAGAATGAGAAGGAGAAGAAGAACAAAAAGAAGAAGAACAAGAACAAGAATAACAAGAAGAATGAGAGGAGGAGGAGGAGGAGGAGAAGGAGGAGGAAGAGGAAAAGAAGAAGAAGAAGAGAAGAAGAAGAACAACAACAAGAACAAGAAGAAGAAGAAGAACAACAACAAGAACAAGAAAAACAAGAACAAAACCAAGAAGAAGAACAACAACAACAACAAGGATAGGGGGAGGAGGAGGAGGAGGAGGAGGAGGAGGAGGAGGAGGAGGAGGAGAACAAAAACAAAAACAAGAAGAAGAAGAAGAACAACAACAACAACAACCACCACAACAACAAGAAGAACAAGAACAAGAAGAAGAATAACAACAAGGATAGGGGAGGAGGAGGAGGAGGAGGAGAAGAACAAGAAGAAGAAGAAGAAGAAAAGGAGAAGAACAAGAACAAGAAGAACAAGGACAAAAACAAGAAGAAGAAGAAGAACAACAACAACAACAATAGGATGAGGAGGAGAAGGAGGAGAACAACAAAAACAAGAAGAAGAAGAAGAAGAAGAAGAAGAACAACAACAACAACAACAACATGCTGAAACCAACAACAACAACAACAACATGCTGAAACTGGTTTGGCAGCAACAACAACAACAACAACAACAACATGCAGCAACAACAACAACAACAACATGCTGAAACCGGTTTGGCAGTAGCAACAACAACAACAAGAATATGGTGAAACCGGTTTGGCAACAACAACAACAAGAATAGGAAGAACAAGAACATGCTGAAACCGGTTTGGCTCAGTGGATAGAGCGTCAGCCTGTGGACTGAAAGGTCCCAGGTTCAATTCCAGTCAAGGGCATGTACCTTGGTTGTGGGCACATCCCCGGTAGGGCGTTTGCAAGGGGCAGCTGATTGATGATTCTCTCTCATTGATGTTTCTAACTCTCTATCCCTCTCTCTTCCTCTCTGTAAAAAAATCAATAAAAATATATTTTTTTAAAAAAATTAAAAAATTAAAAAAAGAAGAAGAACAAGAACAAAAACAAGAAGGAGAAGAAGAACAAGAACAACAGAAGAATAGAAAGAGGAGGAGGAGAACAAAAACAAAAAGAAGAAAAAGGAGGAGGAGGAGAACAACAAGAAGAACAAGAACAAGAAGAAATTAGGGTTTATTTTTTCTGGCCCAGTTTTTGTAACTTGTATGTTCTTGCTGGGAGAGAAATGGTCTTAGGTTAGTTAACTCACTGTGGCCCCCAGATAAAATGAGGTAAAGGTAACATTATTATAAGGATGGAGAACTGCCTACATTATTCCACATTCTCTCCCAACCCTTAGGTGGTGGCCATATAATTATTTTTTCTGAATATTTGGAGTTGTTTTAAATTTATCTTTATTGTTGAAATCCTTACGAATGTTCCCTTTTTCTCTCCATTGGCCCCCTCCAACTTATCCTCTCCATGCTTTCACTGCTCTTTCATCTATCCATGAGTTATGCATATATGCATGTAAGTTCTTTAGTTAATCTCTTCCTGTCCATCTTCACCCTCATTCCCTCTGAGGTTCATCAGTCTGTTTCATGCTTCAGTGTCTCTGGATCTATTTGGTTTATCAGTTTATTTTGTTCATTAGATTCCACATATAAATAAGATCATGTGATACTTATCTTTCTCTAACTGGCTTATTTCACTTAATGCATACTCTCCAGGTTCCTCCATGCTGTCTAAAGAATAAGATACAGGTTTTTCTTTTATAGCTACATAGTATTCCATAGTGTACTAGTCAGTGTACCACAGCTTTTTAATTCTAGGAACTTCTCAAACTTTCCCTATTCAATTTAAGCAAAAGGCATGTGAGTATCTAGAAAGCATCCAATACTAATAGATAGCTGCAGAGAAAAAAACCCCAAACATCATAGACAATGCTTATGTTCTACTCCAACATCAAGGGAGAGGTGTTAAAATGGAGAGTGGAGTTTCTGAACAAGTCCTGGTGTAAACACATCTTAACTGTTCACCAGTATGCCACGGGAGCAATGTGGTAACAGCTAAGATTTTTCTACAATCAAAATAGTATGACTGAGCTCAGTTTTATAAGACAGAAATAAATGTGTCAATTCACACTAACACAGTTAAGAAATCTAATTTTTAAAAACTATATTATACCAAAAGTTTGACCAAATAGGTCTGCCAGCAAAGAAAAGCATTAAGTATTTAATTGACAATAATTGTATTGCTCTTTTAAGAACTGCAGTAGACTTTAAGATTATTAAAAATGCTTCTGACACCTTTAAAGAAAGGATTGGACTGATGCCATGGTAACTCAGTTATTTATATATATATGTCTTGTTATAAGTAGAAATGTTCAATAATCACTATTACCACTGCTTCAGAGTACTGTAACCACTCCACTTGATAGACTTTTAGTAGTTATTAAGGCCTTTCAGAATTCATTGGAAATAATTACCAACTTATTAACATAGATTCTAAACAGACCTTCAAAATATTTTCATAGATTTGTTAAAATATTTTTTAAGTCTGCTGAAAGTACTAGTAGTTGCTTTCATTTGTTGAGGCATTGAATGGAATTTTAAAAATTAAAAGCTGAAATTTGCAAGATTGATTGATGCATTGGGTTTTAACTGGATGGCAATGACTGAGTGGGGTGGCCACAGAAGCACCTTAGAGAGAGAGCTTTTTAAAAGCCATAAATGCACCCAACATGTTCCTGGGCTCATGATTGGCACTCACAAACATGTTCCATGAACATATACTTCTGACCCTGTTGGAGAGAAGGTCATTGAAGATAGAAATTATCTATACCAATAAAAGTGTAATATGACCAAACAGCCAAATGACCTTTCAGATGTCGTTCTGGACATCCTTCTGGACTAAGCTGTGATGGTGGGGGCCAAGGCAGAGGCAGTTAGGGGAACAGTGAGGGACAGTCAGGCAGGCTATGGAGCAGTTAGGGGCAATCAGGCAGACAGGCAGAGGCAGTTTCAGATCAGGCAGGCAGAGGTGGTTGTGGGAGACAGCAGGCAGGCAGAGTGGTTAGGGGCAATCCAGCAGACAGGGGAGCAGTTAAGGGCATTAGACAGGCAGGGGAGCAGTTAGGGTGATCAGGCAAGCAGAAATGGTTAGAGGCAATCAGACAGGCAAGTAGAGGGGTTGCGGAAGATCAGGCAGGCAGACAGAGTGGTCAGGGGTTATCAGGAAGTCAGGTAAGTGGTTAGGGGCAATCAGTCAGGCAGGCAGAGTGGTTAGTGGTGATCAGGCAGGCAGCCAGAGTGGTTAGGGTCTGTCAGACAGGCAGGCAGGCCAGCGGTTAGGAACTAGTGGTTCCAGATTGCAAGGGAGTGCAGGCCAGGCTAAGGGATCTCCCCCACACACCCCTGTGCACAAATTTTGTGCACCAGGCCTCTAGTTTGCAATAAAGTAGTAGATTGCATGGCTGTTAAACTTGTCCATCTAGGTTGGAGGAGGTGGGATTTACCTGGTCAGATTGGGTTCAGCCATTGTACATGATTTGGATAGGTTCACACTCAGCCTCACTCTCCAGTGAATGTTCTCAATTCCAGAACTCAAACTACAACGTGGATGTTTTATTTGTCTGTGGCCCACAGTGTTTTTCAGTCTATTACGTAACATTTGTTGCTGGAATTCTTTTTTCCTCCGACTCACTTTAGGTGGTTAGATGATGCTATTATTGATGAGATCACGCCCAAGCTGATTGGGGACCAGCCCAATACATACACCTACACCAAGGCCTTGGGGGAGATGGTGGTGCAGCAGGAAGGCGGCAACCTAAACGTTGCCATCGTGAGGCCCTCCATTGTGGGAGCAACCTGGCAGGAGCCTTTCCCTGTAAGTCCTTTCACCCCTTCAAAGATTCCTTGCTCTGCTTCCAGGCCAGCGTCCTTCTAGCCCAGTTGCTTTCTGATCTCTCTCTCTCTCTCTCTCTCTCTCTCTCTCTCTCTCTCTCTCTCTCTCCTCTCTTTCTCTCTCTCTCTGCACCCCTCCTCTCCCAGGATGTATAACTGAGTGCAGAAAATCAAACATGAACCCGCTATATTAGGGCAAAATTTGGTTCAGGAATTATTTAGCCTGAAACTCCTCTGGGATTTACTGATCTGGAGTTGGGTGGAGATTTTAAATTAGCTTCTCGTTAACTCTAGTCTTAAATATCCATTAGAGGTAGTTTCATTTCTTTCCTTTCCCACTATAGTTTAAATGTAGCAGACTGGCCCTAGACAGTCTGGCTCCGTGGATGGAGTATCAGCCTGTGGACAGAAGGATCCCAGGTTCGATTCTGGTCAAGGCCACCTGCCAGGTGGCAGACTCGATCCCCAGGATGGGGTTTGCAGGAGGCAGCCAATCAATGATTCTCTTTCATCATTGATGTTTCTATCTCTCTCTCCCTCTCCCTTCTTCTCTCTCTAAAAACCAATAAACATTTTTTTTAAATAAGAAATAAAATAAAAAATTTAGCAGACTGTTCTTAATGGCAAAATCGGTGGCATCACTACTACCAGGGTAAATCACAAAGCTCACAAAAGCTTCTCATCTTGGGAATAGTCACCGTTGATGTCTGGGTACTGCTCTGTCCTTTTAAAAGCACTTTGGAATATATTTCCTTCTCCAAAGCAATTCTGTGAAGTTTTAGGGCAGATAAAGCAGACTTCTGAGTCGACTCACCGGTGAAACTGGGCTGCTGCTCCCCACTTTGCAGAGATTATGAGATAGTGTATGGGGAGTGCTCCGCAGTGCCTGGTCCCAACAACCGCTCAGCAAATAATCCATGCATCTTCTCCCCTCTCCTCTCCCATTTTACACGTGCATTTTGACTTTTACAGATGAAGAAACAGAAATAATACAGTGCACTGACTTGCTTAGGGCTAAGGAGACAAACTCAAAAATACATTTTTTTTCCTATGTCTCCTAAGCATAATCTCTCCTCTAACATCTCTAAGCAAGCTAATACAAACTTGGATGGTATGAATCTTAAAATCCTCTAGAAATGGATAATTCCTGCAAATCATGTTTGAAGTGTTCCCCCAGGAAGACAAAAATCAGTCCCGAGCTGGAGGAAAATGATGACTGATGAATTGGTTAGCAGGTCTTATTTAGACCCCAAGATGTTATTAAAATAGCTTGAAACTACCCATGGCTCCTCCTGGCAGAATTTTAATTATTTCATGAATAATGTGCAGAAAATATGCAGTGTTTTGCCATTGATCTTGTGGGTGATAGACAATTATATTAGCTGGGATCTCAGTGCTCCTGTTTGAAATGTATCAAGATTAGATTGCAAATGTTCCAAAGGTGTTACACTTTTCTGACATGTGTAATCAATAGAGATCTTCTTCTTTATTTTAGGGTTGGGTTGATAACTTAAATGGACCTAGTGGACTCATTATTGCGGTATGTATACTAATGTGGAAATAACTCCTTGAAAGGTGGTAGAGGGATAGTAACTAACAACTTCATTGATCCCAAACCATAAATGTTACTTTACTAACTACAATTGAAGTATTTATCTCAGTTATGGGGTTGTAAAATAGAGGCAAGATAAAATTATTTTTATTTGTGAATTTTATTATCAGAAAAACATATACTGTGATATCGATGACCATTTAGGAGTTTTCTTTTTGGAAGGCCCTTGTGCATGGAGGACCATGACTGTAGTTCCCTATCATTACCACAAGATGGGGGTGTTTCCTATTTTTGGCAGATCATTAATAGCTTGCGTGAATGCAGCGAACTGATGATACAATAAAAATCATATTCACAGAGATTATTATATTCTTGATTACAAAACACATACAAGAGTTTCTGTGTGTAGATATAAATTATATAAATGCATATAAATACATCAGAAACCAGTCCTTAATAGATACAAGAAAGAAAACCACCAACTCGGGCAAAAATTTCAGATTAAAAATGGATGGATTTGGGAAACACTTTTCAGCAAGCCTCTCACAGACCAGGAGAAACGTCACTGGTTCCTCTGGGTCAGCAGTCCTGTGTGCGTGTCCCCCTGCCGTAAAGACTGGGTCATCCTGAGCTGGGGGGCATCACAGTTCATAGTGAAGCATTTTAGGACCAGAACCACAGCTCCACTCTTAAGGACAATGAACAGCAATTCAATTCTCTGAGTTTACATCTTACAAACCTCGTACCTCAGACACTGGCTGTGTTCTCAGAGCTAGGTCCAATAGGAACTAAAATTCAAATATAAGACAGTGAATTATGAGCACTTGTCAAAGATAGTGAGAACAAACCTTCTGTTTTTTGGTTTGTTTGTTTGTTTTGTTTTTGTTTTTCTTGTCTAGCAGCTTCTCTCTTTTTATTCTCTACCTGCCTTCCTCTTCTTTAAGGCTTAGTTATGGGTGGACATTTGGTAACTTAGAATAGAGTTAATTATTTTCACATGAGTGTGTCTTATTACACTGTTTACAAAACTGTACATTCAGTTATCTAAAAGTTTCCAAACTGGTTTCTTATGCCTAAAGGAGGGGGAATCAGTTACAACAAATTAGGAATATAAGAAAGTGCTAACAACCACTGAAAATCGATGTTGGAAATAGGTAGGGTATAAATAATTCATAAAACAAACACAACTTTTTAGTTATTAACTGATTATTAATACGAATAATTCCCAATTCTTCCATCTATATAACATCAGCAATCTATTATATGAGGTGAACTAAGATATCAAAGGAAAAGTAAACAATGATGTCCTTTTCCCAAGTAATACCAAAGTTGTTAAATGGTAGAATTTTATTAATTTTTTAAAATAAATATTTATTAAACTTCTAGTTTCTGCTCTTGCTTATAAAGTAGTAAGCACTAGCAGAAAACATCATTAAGAAATGGTAAAATAATACAGTATAAATGGGAAGTTGGGGAAAACTTAATGCATATAAATTAATTTTTAAGATGTGAAAAACTCTTCTTGGTGTTTGTTAATTAACTAAATAATTAGCTCTCACAACTTTGAGGGCTTTCACAACCTAAAGGAACATAAGGACCACTCATAGAGGTTCATAGAAGTGTTGGCATTTGAGATGAACGTGGCTGGAAGGCTGGACAGGCTGTGACATCAGCCTTGGTATAGTAGCCTCAGAAGCAGTGGGTCAATGGAAGCTGTTATTACTAATTAGCTCCAGTTCTTACTTACGACCTGGCTCAATATATTATGTTCTTCTTCCCAAGCAGACGGGGAAAGGGTTCCTCCGGGCCCTGAGAGCTACTCCAATGGCTGTGGCAGATGTGATTCCCGTTGATATAGTCGTCAATCTCACGTTGGCTGTAGGATGGTACACAGCAGTTCAGAGGTGAGGATGCTAATCTGGCTTTCTTTCGTATATTTAATGATAAGGAGGATGAATATATTAGGCCTATTTTCAAAATACATGCATTGTATTGTAGAAGACCCCAAATGTGACAGAATATATATTTCGATATTTTACATAGTTCCAAATATATGCATTGAGTTGTTTATAAGAACTATTTAGTACTTCATTGATCATAAAGTAACACCCTTTAAATTATTAATCCACATAATTCTTTTTAAAAATATGTTTTTATTGACTTTGTAGAGAGAGCAGATGGGAGAGGGATAGGGAGACAGAAACATGGATGAGAGAGAAACATTGATCAGCTGCCTCCTGCACACCCCCTACTAGGGATTGAGCCTGCAACCCAGGCAGGGAATTGAATTGGAATCGAACCAGTGAGCCATATGGGTTAGGCAAATCATATAATTCTTGATAACAAAAAAAGCTTTTCTTTTTATGAATCTAAAATAGAACTTCCTGTTTTAAAAACAAAGGAGAAAAGGAGGAATAAAATGAGAGCATATTCTGTTTCACTGACCTGCTCAGTTCCTGATAAAAGCCTCAAGTTCAGACCACCATGTATTTACTGATACAAAGAAAAAGGGTGAAAAAAATTGGTTATTTGCATATTTGGCTCTGTTAGTAAATGATAAACACAGTTAAATGTTTTTGGTTATTTTGTTGAGTCAGACTTTCCAAACTAGTAGGACTTAGTTGGACTTAGGAAAAAGCCTAGTCTGTAGTTTTGCCCAATAAACATGTCTATAATTTAGAAATATGATCATTCTCATCATCATTGATGCCAAAATTTCTGTTCGGATCTGAGTTCACTGTCTTGCAAAATCGAAGAATGAGTTCATGGACAGAGAGATCAGCAAAGCAAAGTCTATTAGAGATAGTAAAGTAATAAAGCTCCCTGCATCAGAGAGGGGTCCCCAAATGGATCACCACCGAAGCCTCTTTGTCTAGGGGTTAATATGTACCCTGCTAACTTCCAGTTGGTTGGTCTGTAAAATTCTGCTTTAGCAATATCCATACATTTTAAACTTTAGGGTTCCTGCCCCTAACTGCTAGTCTCTTCTAACTCATCATGACACCTCCATTTGCTCCACAAATATGTCAACCTATTTCCAATCTCTTACACACACACACACACTTTTCCTCCACCTCTTCTATTTTGCTTAGCCAAAAGAAGGAAGGTTGCCTAGGTTACCTTACTCATGAGAATTATTGACACATCCTTTTTTTACATCATATTATTTTCCCTTATCTTTCTTTGATGAGTTCTCCATTTTGTTTTATTTACCTAATTTTTCTTCTATTTCCAGACCAAAGTCAACGCTAATCTACCACTGTACTTCTGGTAACTTGAATCCCTGTTACTGGGGCAAAATGGGTAAGTGCCCATAGCAATGTAACTACATCACTACTATGTCTGTCACAGGGAAAAAATTAGATCAATTGTGTCATGAAGCTTAGAATCTAATGGAGAAACACACACACACACTCACACACTCACACACACACACACACACACACACACACACACACACAAAGAGCTAAAATAATTATAACTGTGTATGTGTAAGAGTTAAGTATAATGTGCCAAAGAAGGGTCAGTAGGAACATCTGCATAATTATAAGCAATAAGTGGTCTGTTATTTATAGAGATTTAAAAAAATAAGTGAAACCAAGTAGAAGTCAGCAATAAGCAATGTCAGTGATCAAACTCTGATCCTGTGGGGCCACAGTTCCTACTGCAGCCACTCTGCTACATGGCTACATCCCTGCCATGTGAAACGACAAAGTAGATTTAGAAAAGCCCAACAATGTAAACTGTTATTGAGTCAGGGATACTCTTCACTAATTATGCAGTTAGCCATAAAAGTCAACTTGATCCCTGGCTGGTGTGGCTCAGTTGGGTGCACTCTTGTGCACCAAAAGATTGCTGGTTCGATTCCCAGGCAAGGGGGCATGACTGAGGTGCAGAAGGTAGCTGATTGATGTTTTGCCCTCACATTAATGTTTTTCTCTCTTTCCCTCTCCCTTTCTCTCTCTCTACAAATCAATAAAAATATTTCCTTTAAAAAAGAGGAACCTTGAGGTTGACTGGTTGAATTAATGAATCCTGCATAAAATAGGAAATTATGTAACCAATCTTGAACTCCTTCGTCAATTTAGGAGTTTTCTTGTCAAAATCTGAAACTTTAGATCACCTACCTATTTTTAAGTACTAGATGTAGGAAAAAAATCAAATGTACTTAATATTTTAGAATCTGATTTCTATTTCAGAACACTCAAATGTGCTATCTGCCAAGTTATTACTTCAATGAAAATTAAGTGAAATTCTCTAGCTGAAAAGTTCTTTAGAGCATATATCCAGTTGTTTAGGTTATCTATCAATAAATAATTCTGAAAACATTTGGAAATAAAAATATAAAAATATATCTCCTATACCACAATAATAGAATTATTGTAAGATATCAATCATAAAAAGAGGCATTAGTAGTAGTTCACAAAAACAAGATATTTTGAGCTCTTAAATAAAAAGATGTTACATGTAAATTCTATTGCTGAGATTCAAAATAGTCTTCTTCCATGCTAATAATTCTTAATATTTGTTTTGTGAAATTATAGAATCTTGGAGTTCAAAGTGATCTTAAAAATAATCCTGGAGGTTGCTTTATTTAACATAGGGGTCCCAGAGAATAAATGATCTATTCAAATTCATATGGGGAACTGGTGCCTGAGATAGAAGACAGGTCTCTTGCCTCCCAGGAATGTGTAGTAACTGCTCCACTAGTAATTCTTAAAAGTACATATGAATTCCTCTGGGAGGAAAGCAGTCCAGATTTCTGGATCAGATGTTTCTTGAGAATCTTTTCTATATAGGGTATGTATTTTTTATATAGATTTCCAAGTGGTGTCTTTTAAAGAAATAATCTTATTATAACTCAATAATGCATTTATGCAGATTCTTTGAAAATTCTACATAAAATGAAAAAAGAACACAAATGAATATTGAAAATTATTACTGACTTTGCAAATATACATTTAAAAAATTTTAACATGGATTTTCCTAACTGAAAATATATAAAGAAAAAACATTATGAAAAAAATCTCTGGAGATAAGAGTAGACAATTGAGTCTGATGTATTCCCAGAGAAGTAGAAATCCCAAAGATGACTGTGGTTTTTGAAGTGAACCAGCACATAGGAGTCCTGCCTTTACAGCCTCCTCTCCCTGAAGCCCTTAGGTTTAAGGTTTAAGTAGCCCTTTATAAGGTTTACGTAAAATGTTAAGAAACTTTCCTGATGGTTCCTAAAGTAGTGATCAAAACAAGGAAATAGGGCCCCTAGGCTCTGTCTTGGGGCTTTTAGAACCATTCCCTTGGAATTGAATGATGGGTTTAAGTTTTTCTGAATAACATTCACTATACCGATTAAAACTATTTCTTCTAGAAGTTGTTTAAAGATTTTAAGAAAAGGATTCAATTTTTAACCTATTCACTGCCTAAAATTTGCAGGTGATTACTTTCCAGGATAAAAATCTTAGTAATCTCAGAAATTGTTTCTTGACTCTATAGAGCAAATCCTTATTCTTTATTGTTTTGACCCATTGCAAATGCCATCCACCACAATGGGCTTATGTGCTCCAGACTTACCGTATTTTTCGGACCATAAGACGCACCGGACCATAAGACGCACCAGTTTTTAGAGAAGGGAAATGAAGAAAAAAAGATTCTGAAACAAATAGTGTCCTAAAATATTTTATGTGCAATAAAACCCAACATCACAGTCTTAAACACATGTAATCAACCCTGTAAAGTAAACAGCAGCATTTAGAACCATTTTAGAGCCGGGCAAGCACACAGAGACCACACAGAGCCGGGCAAGTAAAAAAACTTTTTTTTAAAGTATATGTGTAGGCTATATTTGCACCATAAGACGCAGGGACTTTTCCCCCCCACTTCTGGGGGGGAAAAAGTGCGTCTTATGGTCCGAAAAATACGGTACTCCTTACTTCACTGCCACCCTTCCCCCGCAGGATTCCAAGTCTTGGCAACCTTTGAAAAAATTCCATTTGAGAGGGCTTTTAGGAGGCCAAATGCTGACCTCACAAGCAACACCTTCACAACCCAGTACTGGAATGCCGTCAGCCACTGGGCCCCTGCCATCATCTACGACTTCTATCTACGACTCACAGGAAGGAAGCCCAGGTGAGAAGCTGGGTCAACAGCTTTGAGTGTGTGGCTGCATAGAAGATTATGGCTCCAAAATCCTTAGCCCTCCCTTCAGCTGGGGATCAGAGGTGACAACTGAATCTAACACACACACACACACACACACACACACACACACACACACAAACACACACACACACACGCGAAGATGCATTTCTCACAACACCCAAAGAGGACATGCTCATCATCCCAATTTCACAAATGAGGAAGCAGAAGCTAAGGGGGAAATTGCAAATGGTCTGAAAGGAAGTGATGGAGGAAAGATCTGGAGAAATCGGAGCTAGATTTAGTATCACCTGGAGGTGAGTGAAGACTTTAGCGGGAACAGGATGAACAGTATGCAGAGCTTCGGTGCTGTCACCATGGAGCTGTATGACGCAGGACATACTCTTTTATCTCTGTCTCACTTGAATATTATGTGTGTCTGAGGAGCCATCATTGCTATCATTACCAAAGGCAACTCCTGCAACCATGAATAAGAAGCATGAATAGTCTTGCCTTCGGTGGTAGCTTCTTTATAAAAGAGGAAGTCTTTCTCAGCATGTTTCATTTCCATCCTTATTAGTGGAGCAAGTGACTAAAACATAGGCAATGTTGAGTTTATTTAAATTTGCAGAGACCTTATTAAGAGCTCATCACTTAATAATTGTCAATTTCTCCTTGAACAAAGTGAAAAGGGGACATTGTGGCTATGAGGAAAATATTTGTATGAGGCATATTATATAAAAATGGGAAAAAGAAAAATAACGTTGTAAGCAGAAATGCTGAAGACTTTAAAATATATCAGAAATGGCCCTACCTGTTTGGCTCAGTGGACAGAGTGTCAGCCTCCTGACTGAAGGTCCCAGGTTCAATTCCAGTCAAGGGCACATGTCCGGTTTGCGGTTCAGTCCCCAGTTGGAGGCAACCAATTAATGATTCTCTCTCATCATTGATGTTTCTCTCTCTCTCTTTCCCTTTCCCTTCCTCTCTGAAATCAATAAAAATATTATATATATATATATATATATATATATATATATATATATACACACACACACATACATACACTAGAGGTCCAATGCATGAAAATCCATGCACTGGAGGGAGAGGTCCCTCAGCCTGGCCTGCCCCTCTCACAGTCCAGGAGCCTTTAGGGGTGGGAGGTGACCTGGCTATCAGGGGAAAATAACGCCCCCATTACACCTCTGCTGCTACCATTACCAGCAGTGCTAGTCTTGGCCAGCCCTAGTTACCTGAGCTTCGAGTAGACCTGAGAGGCTGAGCAGCCGCATCCGAAGTTTGCCTGCTTCTTGAGCTGGCTCTGGGCAGTTGGGCAGCCACTATCAAAGGCTTGCCTGTGCTTTGGGTGTCAGCTGGCGGCGGGCCTGGCCATGCTGCACACCTGATGCCCCAGTGAGGGGACTGGGTACCACCATCTTGTGGCTGTGGGTGCTGCCATCTTTGAGGGCGTGGCATTGAATTAGCATATCCTCTCCTTATTGGCTGTGGTACCGCCATCTTTGTGAGGGCATATCCTCTCTTTATTAGATAGGATATCAAGGGTGGAAGATCTGTATAAAAAGCAAAGTTTAGTAAGTAGAAAAGACAAATAAGGGACACAATACAAGTCTTTATGAATTTTTTTCTTAAGAAATTGAATTGTAATATTTGTATAAAATTGGTAGGTTTGTTTTTGATACACATTTTAATAATAATCTTTATGGCAGAAGTCCTTCTAGAACCTTTCCTCACCACGTGTATTTGATCTATGTATTTACAACCACATATGAAAATACATATAGTTTGGCTTTGAGGTAAACAATTACCAGTGCACATGAGTTTTTTTGTAGAATGTGCCACTGGTCTGGCAAAGATGCTGAGGGGGGTGGTTTTGCTGGACTGGAACATATGTGGTTGTCCTCAATAAAGGTTCTGTCCATTTGCAATTGTCAAAATAAAGACAACAAATGGCATCCCTTTTTTACTTTTATTTGAGCCCCAAGTCCTCAGCACTCCCTTGTGTTCATCAAATATTTGTTTTGTTCATTAGACATTCAAGTTTTCTCCTCCATCAGTTGTTCACTAGACATTATTAGACATTCAAATTTTCTCCACTCTGAGTTGCTTCTATTTCTCTTCAATTTTTCTGTTGGGTTGGCCTTATTAGTTTCTGGAAACGTGTGTGTGTGTGTGTGTGTATACACATCTATATTTGATATAATTTCTCTAAGTCTGTTCCTTTTAGCTTTGAATATGAAATTTTTATACCAGGGGAGCTACATATAAGTTTGGAGTCTGACTTCTGACTTCACCAGTTTAGCCACATGAGTCCTAAATTATGTAACCTGCTAAATTTCTCACTTGGGGGGGAGGATGATAATTATAGCTATTTTATAAGGTTTTGAATAAAAGTTTGTATAATACAGTAAAACTATTATTACTATAGAAATTCTAAATTTTTATATGATAAAATGAATCACTTTTTGGCTTTTGCATTTTATGTATTAAGACCTTCTCTACCTGAGAATAAGAAATGTACTTTTTCTTTATAAAAAAAAATACTATTATGCTGATATAGTCCTGTACATACAGTATCATTGCACAATGATTAAGAATTAAAACAAATCTATTGAAATCACATCAGTTACATCAGAATTATAGAATGGATGAAGAATGTCGATTTCATTTCGGCTGCCAGAACAGAATAGATTAGAGGGCTTATAAATAACATAGATCTATTTCCCACAGTTTTGGAGATTGGGAAGTCTAAAATCCAGATGCTGGTAGACTAGGTGTGCTGAGGACCCGCTGCCTGGTTCCTAGACAGTCATCGTTCTATGCCATCTGATGCTGCAAGTGAGCTTTTATATACATAAGGGCACTCATCAACTTCCAGTCTCCTCCTTTAAAGACCATCTTATGAGGGGGATATAGGTTTCAAGATATGAATTTGGGGGAACATAAATATTTAATCTGAAGCAAAGATGTTAGATAATAACAGCTAAATAGAACCCTGTTCTGATGCTTATATGATGGATAAATTATTTTTCCCTCCTAAGAATTTCCCATGATACAATGAGAGTACCACAAGAGTCAGTAAATATGTGGACATTAAGATTGACCATAAATAAAACCAAATTCTCAAAAAATAGTATTTTTTTTTTATAAAGAAAAAGTACATTTCTTATTCTCAGGTAGAGAAGGTCTTCTTAATACATAAAATGCAAAAGCATAGGAAGTCATTACTGGATTACTTACTACTATCATGATTTGCCTAAGGGGAAAATCAAATGTTCTATAGGCCAAAAGTGACTTGTAGCCGTAAGTCCTAGGTTTAAGCATTAGCCTTGTAACCACAAACCTATTAATCCTTTTGTAAAATGAAGATAATACAGATCTTGACTACTTCCAAGTAATATTGTGAGGAGCAATTAGATTGCATATGGAAGTTTTTGTAAGTTGTTAAGTTGGCAAGCTCACACAGCCAGCTGGTCCAAGTCCTGACCACAGGATTGGAAGACTTGGTCCACTCTAAGTAATGGGACACAGGATGGCGAGGTTACAAAAGCAGAGGCTTTTTGAGGTCAAGGAATTTTGGCTTCCACACCTATTAATGTGGCCACTTTATCTTAAATTCACTTTACTGCGTTCATACAAGTGCAGATTTACACCTACCTAAGTAGGATGCTATGAGAATTAGTGGAGATGAAGATTAGGGGAGGGATAGTTTTTATATCTTTCTCAAAGATAATTTCTCATGCATTCCTATAGAGAACAGGAAAGCAGCCATCTGTGCTATGCTAATGATATTGGTTCTTATCTGATCTTTAACTCAGGATGACAAAGCTCATGAATCGGCTTTTAAGAACTGTTTCCATGCTGGAGTATTTCATCAACCGGAGCTGGGAATGGAGCACGTGCAACACAGAAATGCTGATGTCCAAGTTGAGTCCTGAAGACCAGAGAGTAAGTGCAGTACTGACTTAGCCAATAGGAAAATCTTACTCACTTAGAATTTGGAAGTATTTGACCTGAAAAGTTGATGAATAAAGTTCTAGTTATATACACAGAATTTAAAAATATACATATTTTTATTGATTTCAGAGGAGAGAGGGAAAGACAGAAACATCCGTGATGAGAAAGAATCATTGATTGGCTGCCTCCTGCATGCCCCCTATTGGGGATCAAGCCCAAAACCCAGGCATTTGCCCTAACCAAGAATTGAATGGTGACCTTGTTGTTCATAGATCAATGCTCAACCACTGAGCCACACCAGCCAAGCTATACACAGAATTCTTTTTCTCTAAGAAAATCAGTCAATGCTATCAACACAGTTGCAGGAAACAAGCTTAATGTAGGTAAGAAATCAAGGATCTTGACCTTTGGTTAGATCATCCCTGCTGTTCTGGGGTCTTCATATACTTAGAATTCTTTGTTCACTCTCCCAGCTGTTATGTTCTCAACAAACCCTGTGTATCTCTATCTTTCCCCTAATAGCCATAGCATATGACTTTGATTTTAAAAAAACGTTATAATTTTCTTGCTTGTACATTCTCCTTCAGTTCTTATTAAATCAAAATCATTTGGCATATCTAAAATAGTTTATCTTTTTAAAGGTAAACTCAACTCCTATTTATTCTATCCCATAGAAGACCTCCCTCCATCAGTATTGCCCTCTCCCCAGCATTGTCAACCTTCTTCCCTATGATTTAACCAACTCAGACTTGTACTTCTTACAACATGCCTTCACTTAAATTGCTTAGCACCAGCGCAATGTACTTCCTCATATTATTATAGCTTTGTGGTGGTAACAATATACCCTGAAATCTTTGCATATTCTGAAACTCACAAATATAGAAATCTTTTGTGCTTTGTACATGTTCCTAACTTTCCTTCTCAAGGAGTAGAGTTCCCTGATCATGTCATTAGTTTGCAATTTAACTTTAAATTTTTCACTCTTGATTGACACTTTTCCACTGGGGGGAAAAATGTTTAAAGAAAAAAGCATTTCTTGATTTAACTAGTTCTTGACAGACAGCATATAAAAGAAACCAAGTCATATAGAGAAACATTAAGTGGGTAGCTAGCCTGGCTTTGCAGCTAAAGATTTTACACCTAACATACCAGCCTCATAAGCATGATTCAAATCCCATTCTAGAATTTATGCCATGGAATCAAAGGGTTACTTGCACAATCTAACACTATAAATGTTAGATTGATAAATCAGATGAGTTTTAGGATATTTTAATTGAAATCTTCACTGAGTACCTCTATAATTAACATGAAATAGACCTATTTTCAGAAATGTTTACATACCTTATACAGACAAAATTCTTCTAAGCACCTGTTTGAAATGCATGGCTGATTGATCAAATCAGCTTATTTTTAAAGACCTCAAGCTATTGTACATTATTTTAAAAATTAGCTTCAAATTTTATGTAGGCTTATCTTCATTGCATTTCTCCATAGAATTTAACCATCTAAATAATTTTTAAAATAATGAGCTTAGAGTTTTATTTTTGACATTTTACTATTTTAAACTAAAATCACTTAAAATGTCACGAGAAAATCAAATCTGTAGTGGATTTAACATACAATTTCAATACCTTAGCAAATATAATTGCCAAACTCTAGGATGGCTCGGCTTCCAGTTTGATTTACCCCATAGATTCAGGTTTCTTAACCAGAGCTGCATGAAATCTCACTTAGAAAAGTGAAATAGAGTAAAAGAAAAGGCCACTGTTTGTATCAATGAGTATGTAATAGTGACATTGTGGAAAAACAAACATATCCAAACAAGACAATACTGAATTACTTTTGGAAAGCAATTCAGCTTTGGACAAATCTATGAAGCTCTTTGTAACTTGTTAATCTCATCTGCTCACTTTGATGATACTCAAAATCATTTCAAAGATTTGATATTTCTTACAATAAAGGCATATATAAACAAAATAGAAATTGAATTAGAATATGAAGTCAAGGATAAAAATGGAAAAAATATGTCCATCTGTAGTATACAAAATCCTATGTCATTTCTGCTAAAGCAGTGAATTTTTTTGTGAGCTTTTTGGTGGTAAAAAGGAAAAGGGGAAAAAATAGTTTCATGGTATTCTTTGTCTAGGAGGAAAAAACACACTGGTGTTCCAAGAGAAGCAAAGCTTTCCTTACCACTTAACACTAAAAGAACTGTTCTGAATGGCTTCTTTAATGACACACTGAGAGACATAATGGGTATCTCTATAGCAAATACAAAATATAAGTTCTGCTAAGCTACTCCTCAATGCTTTGTTTTCCAAAGTTTGCATTAATCTGCAGAAAGTGCTGATATTGTAGGAAAGGTAGGTAGGCCAAGGGACACCATCAATATTTAAGGGGAATGGAAAGAAAAGAATGCATAATTTGTTTTGATCCCTAACATATTATTCCATCACTTTTAAAAATTATTAATCCACATTTACATGAAATGAAATTAGCTTTCACCAGACTAATAACAGTTCCTCAAATTTCCCTCACAAGACTTTCTGAAGATCAAGTATTTTTGCTTGCTCCATGTTTAAATATTGCAAGGAAAATGATAATCTATATAATCAGGGCCTTTGAAATAGCAGCTCAAATAATCTCCTCTAGAGGGATCCAACCTAAGTCTTCTAAACCGACTGTTGCTCATTTATGTAAAAGAAAACTTGGTGAACAAAATGATTATCCAGCCATGCAATTCTGGCAATCCTTTTATCTATTTGCCTTTCAGGTATTCAACTTTGATGTGCGCCAGTTGAACTGGTTGGAATACATTGAAAATTACGTTTTAGGAATCAAGAAGTACTTATTGAAAGAAGATATGGCTGGGATCCCAGAAGCAAAGCAACACTTAAAAAGGTAAACATAGTCGGTCAGTTAATACTTATGTGTATCTGATTTTACACCAGACTTGAAATCTGAGCCAGGGACAGGAGGAATTGACATTTTTCTTCAGCATTTACTAAATAAGATGTCCTTCTTTTTATACTGTGCCCTGTGATACATGGCTTCATTTACCTTCACCACACCCCTATGAGGCATTCTTTCTGTTATCCCATTTTTATCAATAGTAATGGTCATTTGTTCCTAGTCACACATGAACCAAATTTGAACCAAAGTGTCTTTGATTCTTCTGCCACACCCTACCATGTGATAAAGTTTACCCAGTAGGCAGGAGACTGATCACACTATGTAACATGGGCATAACCACTCTTCAAGACCTTCAGCTGCCTTAATTTGCCATTAATCCCTTAAAGGACAAAGAATTATAACAGTTTGGTTTAATTCTGGCAGAAACAGAGGGTTTTTAATAGATAGTAAGGATGAAAACAGAGTTTAGAGGTTGAGAACTGTATGACTTACCCTCTAGTGAACAGGAACCAGTAAAGATTTGTGATATGGTAATAGGATCAACATACCTTTAATAAAGACTGTTAGTCATGTTTGCAAGATAGGTTACAGTATGAGAAGTATGGTAAATAGAAACTAGACAAGGTAATATTAGGGAATTCTGATTATTGAGAATGTTTTGGAAATAAAAGATGAAACTCAAAGGCTTCTCAGGTCAAACCTGTAAGCATTTAATAATTATTTGCTTGTGATAGCCAAAAGAAACACATTTATGTTTCAGATAATAGTTGGGTATTTGACACTGTTTTAACTTTGACTATATATGTCTCTTCCCCAGGCTCCGGAATATTCACTACCTCTTTAATACTGCCCTCTTCCTCATTGCCTGGCGCCTTCTTATGGCAAGATCTCAGATGGCTCGAAATGTCTGGTTCTTCATTGTGAGCTTCTGTTATAAGTTTCTCTCCTACTTTAGGGCACCCAGAACGCTCAAGATCTAAGAACATTTGGCAGTCTTCATTTATCTGGTACCTCTCAGATATCTCTAGAACAGCAAACTGTGGTCCTCAAGATAAGGAAGTGGCAAAGACTATGGCCAACCTCATCACCTGTCAAATGTCATGTCATGTAGTATTTGCCCCTATTTCCTATTTCTCTCTCTCTCTCTCTCTCTCTCTCTCTCTCTCTCTCTCCCTCCCTCTCCCCTCTCTCTCTCTCTCTCCCTCTCCCCCCTCTCTCTCTCCCCCTCTCTCTCTCTCTTTAAGAGAAGGAAGTCATAGCCGAGCCTATAAACAAACATATTTTAGAAAAAAGTTATTTCCAGATTGCTTTCTAACACTCTATGTCCTTGAATATAAAACACCAAAGTATAAACCTCTTTCTATATTTAGCATTCTTCCCATTGAGAGGACTAACTGCAACTCAAAACACAGAACACCTAGAAGTGGAAATAGGCTAAAGAAAGGCAGTTCTAGCCGTGAGACCAGTCTGGGATACCCAGTATAAAGGTTTAAAATCAATCTAAGTGGAAGAATGGTTTCAACATCCTCACAGATGCTGTAACCTTATATTTCAGCTTATTTTACTCAGGCCTCAATAGGAGTGACTAAATGGAGAGGAAGATCCTAGGTTGGAATCATACAAAAACCCATTCTCTTGACTTTTGCATTGAGGAAAAACAAAATTTTAAACACAAATTTAAATGCTAGTCATAGTCTTTCTCTATAAAGTGGGGAAGATGACTCTAGTGAGCAACAGAACTTGCTGGTGTCTCAATCATTCCAACTGCACATCGCTAATTGTACAATGTACAGCAGAAAAGGACAGACTTCATTAAGTGACTATATTTAGAGAATAGGTGTTTTGTTTAAAAATATTTTATGTATAATAAAAATGAATTACTAAAAACTATTTATTCCTAAATTTCAATATAACTATTACTCTTTCATCTTATTTGAGAGATCAGTGCGTACTGGACTGCAGTTATTTCATGCTAAAAACATGGGTTATTATTTAAGCCTAATTTGGAGGCTCAATTAAAAATAATCACAACTATTAGACAATTACATGAACACAGAAAGTTAACATGTTTATGCTCACTAGCTGGAATAATTGGTACTCAAAATGGCACACTGAAGTGATTGAGGGCAGCTTCTAGGATTTCTTGAAATTTTTTTGAATCCATAAAAGGCATTTTGGGGTAACTCTTCTGGACAATGTCCTCCCCAATCTCATCTAGGTTCTGGGAATTAATTTCTTTCCAGGGCACACAACCCAGCTCTGAAAAAAAACACCTGGTGATCTTTAGCTTAAGATGTCTATACAATATTTTTGAGTTACACTGATAAGTACAGATATAGTAAAAATGAAATATATATAATTAAATGAGACTGGATAAAACATAATAGTTCCTAAGAATTTACTATCTTTTGATTATTGTGTTTCACTAATTCAATAAATTCCACTGATCAAGTATTCATTTTGACTTTTGATTACATAGAAATTTGATTAAAAATGTTTTTCTCTTTTTCAGTATTATGTCTTTAACTGATGACTACTGCAGATCTCCCTCCCTGAGAAAAAAAATGTAGTAATCCAAAGAACCTACCAGATAAATACAAATTAACATATAAGTACATATTGCTCCACTTTTTCTGACCATTAATAGGGTAGTATTTGCATGCTGCATTGTTTTCTACCTGTACCATTAGAGACCTGCCATTGTCCTCTTGTAAGCAGTGAAAGCAGATAGGTATCTGTATGAAAGAAGTAATTTTAAATCAAGACTAACCATTATTTAAGTGCCTAATATATATAGTGCAATGAGAAAAAACCCTCCTACTTTTGGGGGGGAAAAGGGATGGTAAATAGAAAGAAAGGGCATTTATATTTGAAAATTTTTGATAACTACCATATTCTGCACTCACTAAATACCCAATACTGTAATAAATACTACTGAGTTGAAGACAGTCACTACCTAAGGCAATTAATGTTAGAGAAAGTTAGGGCATATGGACACAGAACACAGAAAAAAAAACATTTCTCACAATTTTATACTAACCTAAAATCATTATCTCCACTCATCACTTTAAGTAACTGATTTAGAATCTCAAGGTAAATAGAATGACCCGAGGGACTAACACCCAAATAATGTGTTACCTCACAATAAACTTAATATTGTAGTTAATGTAGGTCAGCCTAAAAATTTTAAAAACAATAATCTGCATAATTCACAGGAGTCACATGCAAATTTCCAATTGGCTATTTTTCTAGAACTGCAAGTCTAATGTTCTGGAAACATAAGCAACTACCTATACTAAAACATAATGGTTGCTCCAATATGCCCACACGAAAGTATGGAAAAATGCTCAGTGCTAGATTACTACATATATATATAGCATAATACACACACACACACACACACACACACACGTTTAAATTAACAAAATAAAACAGTTGCTGGTACTTTAATTACTAACTTCAGACATGAAAACAGAATGTATGTAATGTAGCCCTCCCCTTACACCACTAAAAAATTAAGACATCTTAGTCAGTTCTTTATGAATTAAATTTGTATTAAAGATTGTAAATTTTGTTTGCATTCAAAAGTTTTTAAAAATTCGGTGCTTTGTATCAAAAAATGCATGAGAAAAGTATATTAATCATCTGAGTTGAAAAATAGAATTTTATAATTCTGAATGAGTTAAGCTTTTCCAAGAGGTAGTCTGAAGTGTAGAAATACACGAGTAGAGAATCATTCACCTAAATATTTCATGTCTTATAGGCCAAGGTATGCAAATAATTTCAAAATTTTTCATATAATCCAAGGTCTCAACTTGAAAATATTTAGGCTGAAATATATGTGTAGATATTTTGAACAGCCTAATAAAAAGGATTAAGTTAATAAAGTTAGGTACCCTACTGAAGGCATCCTCAGGCATAAGACGAATAGGTCACTACAGTGTTCTCTGCAACTGAAAAGCAACACTTGGTGAGATCAGAACACGTAATAAATCTTAATATATAGGTATACTTCATCATCCATCATCCAAAGGGCTGATCAGAATCTTATGTTTTGATTCCCAAAAAATCTGATCTTACTATTCAAGGACTTTCAGCTGGAAATCTTTAATTTTTAAAATAAAAATCAATGCAAAGATTTTGCTTTGAAAAAATTCCTTTCATAGTTTTAATGGAACAAATTAATTCCATTAACATTTCAATATAATTCATAGCAGCACAATTTACAATTGTGCTAAGATCAGGAAACAGCCCAAGTGCTCACCAGTAGATGAGTGGATAAAAAAGCTGTGGTACATTTATAACATGAAATACTATGCAGCGGTATAAAGGAAGGATCACTCACCCTTTGAGACAGCATGAAGGGACCTGGAGAGTATTATGCTAAGCAAAATAAGCCAGTCAGAGAAAGACAAGTATCACATGTATATGGAATCTAATGAACAAAATAAACCGATAAACTAATAGATCTAGGACATAGAAGCATAGAGTAGACTGTGGAACCTCTGAGGGAAGGCAGGGGAAGGTGGGTGGGAAGTGATCAACTAAAAACTTGTATGCATATATAGATGTATAACCCATGGTCACAGACAATAGGGTTGAGGGGGTGGGCAGGCTAGAAGGGGTTATTTGAGGTGGGGGGGAACATATGTAATACTTTCAGCAATAAAGATTTAAAAATTTTAAGAGATATTTAACTGTTATAATCCTACAAGAAAGTAACTCTAAATGGTTATTGTCTTTCCTCCCATTAAAAAACAAAACCTCTAAAATTTGATGGAATTCTCTGACAAGCAGACTCACAGAACCAACTGTCAAATAAAAATAGCTAAAATTCTAATTCCCTCCAGTTAAAATTCCTTTTGAGCGATGCTTTCGTTGGAAATATCTGAAGAAATAAAAATCACATTATTTGGAATGTTTTTGATTCAAATATGTTTCAAAGCCTATTATGTTACCTGTATTAATCCATTAACTTTGTGGCTGTTAATGATAAACTGCATTTTAAACATTGATGTTTGTATTTTCTGCAAAATACCATTCAACATAAGATTTACTGTAAAGTTTTATCAGTATTTCTCCTCTCCATTACATTATTGTCCAAACTATTTTCAAAAAACCATTTTACTTAAACAAAACAAAAAAAAATCCATATGAAAAACTACAACTTGTGACAGCCTATCTTCTAAAAACCATGATTTTAATCTAGCTTTTAAGCCTTGGCCTTGGTACTTAACAATTTTTGTTTCCCTATTTTCCTAAGTGCTTTACCCCATGGGGATTGGTTGACGATTCTTCTACTAACATTAAGTATTACAAAAGAAAACTGATGTTGGCACACATATTCCAAATAAGTTTTTAATGGTACCTGAATGATATCTTCCCTTCATTATTTTTAATCTTTTATAGTCTGAAAATTTTAAATCAAGTCTTAAATAGTAAGAAAGCCAGAACAACACAATCTAATACAGAATCAACCACATTCAGGACATTCTGAATGCAAATACCTCTTTCATCCAGTTTGATATTTTAACGGAAATCATTTAATATAACCTCTCAGATATGACATTATCTTGTTTTACTTAAATAGCTGCCTTACACTTTTACTTTATTTAGTTACCCTGTCGCCTACTCACCACAGCACGTATAAAATATTCTACTTTTCTTACTATTTTATAAACTGATAATTTTCATTATCAGTAGTGTATCTTTTTATTACGCATCCCGTTCCCACAGTATACCAACACAATATGATCAGATTAGAAAATTTAGCATCTTTTAAAAACATGTGCTTTTTTCCCCTCTTTGTATTAAGTGCCCACCATACAATTTGTGAATGGATTCCTATTACATGTTATAGCACCAATGTACCTGCCCCTGTAAGAATTCACCTTGGTCTTTCATGACCCTGCCTTGAACAGTTAAAAAAGTCAATAGCCAGAGGTTAAAGAAAAACAGTTACCTTCCAAAGACCAAACCACTGGATAAATTGTCTTGTCATTATGGCTTAACATTAATATGGCTATGGCATGTGAACCCATCCCTGTTTATCTTTATTAACAAGGTGACCTGATCACAACTTTTTAAAGTTTAAACTAATTTTCCATGTTTTATTCTGATATCATATTTTAAAAACAAAAGGACGTAGACATTAGCACTATTAATGCCTTTTTCTTTAGATGTGGTTTGACCTCTTTCCTTCAGGCTCTTCAAGGTCCGATTTCGACAATGCCCATTTGCTGTGAAAATATCAGAAGGGGTCATTTTTCGAAGCAATATTCCAGTTGGACTAATTCACTGATTAGCTGCATAATTTCTTCTAAGACATTTGTAACAGACACAACATATATAGGATTTCAGTTTTTTCTCTTTTTTTTCTAGGTATGATTCCTGCTTTTCATTCTTTTTTTTTTTTTTTTCCTTTTGAATATATTGCACAATATTTTATTATTAAAAAAGGTTTGATGTCTCAGGCAAAAAGTTTTTCTCCTTCACCTAGGAGGTGCTAATGTGTACTGTTTTCTAAAAGAGGTAAGTGGTTGTCTGTGTGGCCATCTTCAAAGGGAACCTAGGGAGAAAAAAAGACCAGAGCATCAGTTTTGTTTTACTTATTACATTAGTTCCTCTAAACACAAGGCTTTACCAAGGACAATTTTTTTTCTGGGCACCAAAAGATACTGTTTAGATTTAACAATAATACTATGAGTTAGAGATCAGTACCATTTATACTATACCACTTACAGAATTGACGGGTTTATAGGATCCAAGTCTAAAACGACAGCAAATTATTTCAACTATAAATTTTCCAATTCCATGTAACATGCCTGTAATAAAAAATGTTTTAATTAAGTTATGCTATAATGTAATTATTTCCTAAATAACATAAAACTAAAGCTATAACAGTATAGGTTAAGGAAGGAAAGTAGTTAGCTTTTCTCCCACAGTTAAAAGTAATGACAGTTTGATTTTAAAACAAATGAATTTATTTTCAAAATCATAAGATTCAATAATTCATGAACTTGACAAAGCAATCTTTTCAAGAGTGTTTAATACATCTTCCACCCACATAATTTTAAAAAATAAATACCAGCACTAAAAATTTAAATGCATTTAAATGAAGGAATGACAAAGATTTTTATAAGAAAAGCTAGTCATTCATCATAAAAATATAATTCAAAGTATATAAACTACTCAGTCTATGTAATACTCAATAGGGGTTGGGGATAAAAAAGGAACTGTTTCCTTTCTCTATTTATTGTATTTAACTCTTACAATTCTGCAAGTAATTATCATCTTTGAGAGAACCCCATAATATCAGGGGGAAAAAGGTCAAAATCATAAAAACACTGACTGAACTATCACATAGCTCAAAGTATCATATTATTTTACATATCATAAAATTAAAAATACTTTAACCAAATAGAAAATTTACATTCAAGTGGCTACTATTTCTAGGCATTTTCTCATCTAATTCTACAACACACTTGCAAGTTAGGAACCATTATTCCCTTTTTTATAGATAAGAAAACAAATTTCAGAAAAGATAAATATTACATTTTATACAAAGCTATCACTATGTAAATGGGAGAACTTGGATTCACTTCCAGGATCTGTCTAGTTCACTAAGTAATCAATCTCTCTTAAATCACTGAATGCAGTGAATTTAGGTATGTTTAATCCATTAACTTTGGAATGAAGTCTTAAAAGAAAAAGTTCTTTAAATATCAAAATATGAAAAGCGTGTATATTTTTTGCCCATTTTAAGTACAAACATCCTAATTTCAGTGTCAGCAACAATTTTAGAAAATAGACAAAAAAAAAAAAAAAAAAATCTTCACCTGTTGTTGAAAAGATTCCTCCAATGATACCACAGAGTCTTACAAAAAACTGCCAGAATGGCATATGTTCTTCAGTAACTGTCACCATAAGAGAACTGAGATCATATTTCATAAATATCCCAGAGAATCCATGGCTGCCTGCAGCATGGTTAATGACACGTTCCTAAAGGAAGGCAAAGGAAAGGGAGAGATAGGAGGAGGAGGAAAACAGGACTTATATCAGCTGGTTACTTATATACAGTCAATATGAAGCCTTATACCCCTACTGTAGGAGAGGGACATCCAATCTCTGCACAAATTGCCCCACTAGTCTAAGATCTTAAGAACAATCAAATTGTTCTGTATTCTTTGTGTGGTTAGCTTTAGAAGCAATCAAAAGGAGAGAATTTTTCTAATTTTTTCTAAAAGGTCACTTAACATACAAATTTTCTGTTGAGCTCAAGAGCTAAAAACTAACTATATGGAACATTCTTCATTGACCAAATCAATGAAAACTAAATTCTTATTTTGACATATTTTTATATTTCTTTGCTAAGAATTTACAAAATAATCATTTATGTCCTATTATTTAAATGATCAGATTTAAAAACAATTCACTCGCTGCTGTTCATTTTATTTTTTTTTATTTTTATTTTTTTAAATCAATCTTTATTGTTCATATTGTTACAAAGGTTCCTCATTTCTTCCCCCCTCCACCAGGTTCCCATCCCACCCTCCGCCCTCTCCCCATCCCCCATTGTCCTCATCCATAGGTGCAGTTTATGTTCAGTCTCTTCCTCCCTCCCTTTCCCCGATAGTAAATCCCTTTTCAGATAGTAAATCAGTTACTTAGCATTTTCTCATATCAATACTACCACCACATGCCCAATGATACATTTCACAACCAGCCTCATCCAGGCCCCACCCAAGGCACTCACAGATCAACACCCCAGAGCTATACTAACTCAACACATCCAGATCTAAGCCTTCATCACTTGATTCAGCAGACCCTCAAGTTCCCACAAAAGTTTCCAGCCATGTCTGAGAGGCAGCCGTGGGGCAGGGGCAGGCGAGGAGCGAGCTGTTCCGGGCCTGGCTGTTCATTTTAAATGACATAAGATACAGTACAGGAAAAAAAATAGTGCATTTATTTAAAGATATCAGTACTTGGTTTAAACTAGTTCAGTGTTTAAAAATTTATTTTCTTGAAAGTTATGAAACTAAAATTATAAACCTACCACACTGCACACTAAGAAAATATTCTATTTCACTCCATTATGTTTACACTTCAAAATCAAGTTTGCAAACTTTCTAAAACATTTCTATTATAGCTCAAAACAACTATGCTGCCACAGTACTTTGTTATGACTTTTATGTCAGACCCTACTTATTTTGATTAAGCTATAACTAAACTGCAAGCTTTAGAATAACAAGGTAAGTTAAGACAATTTCATGTGGACATTACAAAAACCCTTCCCCTATTAACACAATAGAGCCTTATAAAGACATTGTTAAACTTTTCAATAAAGTGATTTCATTTATAGCCCTGATAAGTTCAGCCATGCCAAAATATACTCTCACCACCTCTATGGAAGAAAGATATTTCGAGATTGATCAGACTGTCCTTGGAACAAAAGACTAATAACGATTCCCTCTGGGATGCAGGACCAAAGATAGCCAGCCCTCCCCATTTTTGTCCTCCTCATTCTCCATTTGACCAACTCCAAATACCCCTTTTGTGTTTTTGTTTTGTTAAGTGAAACACAACTGATTTTAGTCATCTCAAGGGCACAAACATATTCTGCAATGGTCAAATGCTCTAGGATTCTATTTTTTAAATTTAATTTAATTATTTTATTTAAAATAGAGGCCTGGTGCACAACATTTTGTGCACGGGCGGGGTGGGGGGTGGGGTTTGGGGGATTACTGAGTCATTTTATAGATACTGCCAGATTCCCTTCCTTAGAGACTATACTGTTTTGCATTACCGTAGTAGCAATGATGTGTGCCTGTTTTCCCCAAAGCCTTGCCACTGTGTAGACGACATCAGGTGGTGACAATCTTAGTGAGAAATGGCATCTCCCCACCCATACAGAAGTTCAGAAAAGAACAATATACAGATAGCCCTTGGGTTATGTCGGACTCGACTTGCGTCGTTCGTGGTTATGTTGCCATCTCCCATTTACAGTATTTATTAAAAAAAAAAAAAAAGTTGTCATTTTGACATATGTACATATGTGCTTTATTTTTTTATTATTTATTTACCACAAGTAAAGTTCAGGAATCGTTATTTTTCTTTTATTTTTTTTTTTATTTTTTTTACTGTTTCACTTCATCACTGCTGTGTATGTGCTCCATGTGAGTGATGTAGATGGTTATGTAGGTGGGTTCGGACTCAGGGAGAAAATTGAGTTAGGTCACACCATAGGAACAGATCCCTGATGTAACCCGAGGACTGCCTATATACTTATGTATACTTTACCTAGTTTCTCTTTCTGTATACACACCCCCCCCCACACACACACACACCAACTTATTATACTAGTACATACTTGATTCCTCCTCTGAGCCATGTGAAAGTTTTAAATACATGACACTTGACTCCTACAATCTTTATTATTTAATCCAAGAATAAGGAAAATTCTACAAGTATTAAGGACAAAGTCATCACAAAGTATAAGACTATTAAAAGAAAACTTTATCTTAAGAAAAGCCTTACAAGTCTTCTGAATACTAGTATTTGAATATTTATCATTCTTCAACAAAAAGAAAACATGATTCCAGAACAGATGAGAAATATTAAACTGTCCAATTCCAGCACTCTGATCCTCACTGTCATATTTATTTATAAGGCCAATGCACCCCAAGGTTGCAAAACATTTGTCGTCTTAAGTAGACAAAGCACAGGTTAGGAAGGCAAACCCTCAAAATCTGCTATCTGAGCCACAATAAGAATGCATGACCAAGGTTAGATACATTAATTAAAAAAGAAGTAACACAGAAATCAGAGAATCTGTCAGCAAATAAAAAAACTGTTTATACCAATACATTAAAAAATTACAAAATTAATATATTAAGATTAAAATAATTAATGCCATCAATTTAATAATTTTGAGTTAATTGAATACAAAACCTTCCAGATTTAAAAAACAAACAAAAAAACTTCTCTTTTTTCTGGTATTTTATTCTCTTAAAATATTAATGCGTTTTGCTGAAACCGGTTTGGCTCAGTGGATAGAGCGTCAGGGTCTATGGACTGAAAGGTCCCAGGTTCGATTCCAGTCAAGGGCATGTACATTGGTTGCGGGCACATCCCCGGTTGAGGGTGTGCAGGAGGCAGCTGATCGATGATTCTCTCTCATCGATGTTTCTAGCTATCTATCCCTCTCCCTTCCTCTCTGTGAAAAATCAATAAAAAAAAGTAAATAAATAAAAAAATAAAAAAATATATACATATATATATATATATATATATATACACACACACACACATATAATTCCATTAAAAAATATATTAATGCATTTCAAATTTTCAACAAATTTAAAAGGGGGAGGGCACCAACTGAAACCACAACCTTATTTTGTAGCAGGAGGAATATAAAATGCTAAAAAAAAAAATCATTTTACTAATTTGATTTAACTTACCCTTTCTGTCACAGAAAACTGATGGGTGTCTGCTGAAATTTTGTATGTATGCAGCTTTGTTGGCACAACTGTAATAAAATACTGGAACATCTGGTTGTCTAGAATAAAAGCAAATTGTGTTTTTTTCCATCAATCCAGTAGCGACAAAACTAATGCCAAACATATCGTCCTATTAAATACATTAACCAGAAATCTAATGCTACTTGTGACTTAATGCCTAACAAAAAATAATTTTAAAAGACTAAATGAAATCAATAAATACTTGATAAAATAATTTCTCTGTAAGCATATTTCAAATAGTCACATACACATCTTTTATAAGACATTTAAAAGGATGAACTACTCACTGAGATATCTTTGTAATCATTACCATCCTTATATCAAATATGAAAAAATAAAAGCATTCCTTTACAGTACAGAAACTAGTAAAAATAGTTACAAAACTATAACCATCATAAGACATACTTTCAGTTTCCTCTAATATCTTAAGATATGTAAGTAAACCAACATTGAATTAGCCACCCTTTGGTTAAATGTAAGGAAACCGATACCACAGCAGAAACTAAGTGAAGGAACTATTCAATGATGGCCTGGGGTTATTGTGTAATCAAAAGGATCATATTTATATAGTCACTAGAGGCCCATGTATTCATGCACAGGTGGGGTCCCTCAGCCTGGCTGACAATCCGGGCTGCAGGAGGGTGGCTGGCCAGGGGGAAGGCAACCCACCTCTTCCGCCAGGCCTGCCTCCTCCACAGGAGGCAGCAGAGAGGCCTTCACGTTGCTCAGAGCTAAAGGACCCCCAAGCCTCACCATGCAGAGCAGAGGCCGGGCCCCACCTCTACTGTGCTCACAGCCATCTTATGATGACATTGCGTAAGGGAGTGACACCATCTAGGCTTTTATTATATAGTATAATAATAATATAATAATCCACCCATATTTAAATAAATTTAAATTTTAAATGGAATAAAAGGTTAAAACAGTAACAAAAGGTACTTGTGCTATAATGTACAAGCATGTCAAACTCGTGGCCCAGCCAATATAACGAACGGTATGTAAGAAATATTTTAATAAAAATTTCATAACATTTTTTCAAGAACCTGTTATATATAATTATTAATAGTGAACCATAATGTTCGCTAATGACTGATTACTATAAACATGTTGCATTCATTTCCCTGGCACACCTTAAGTGCAGGTGCACCATTTCCCTCCACTAATACTAGTAGCGAATATTTTAGCAGCTGTCTGCTATGTCATTAGTCTTGGACTAACTTGTTCAGTGTGCACACAGGAAATATTTCGCTTTTGGAGAGCAAGGAAAATAGACTTATTTGCGTTACGCTCATTAATTTGTGCAGTTATTCAGTGTCTGGTAAATTAATGTTCAAGAAAAAATATTTTTATTAAGATGGTCTATTCTTTTATGTTAACAATTAATCATTTATTTCAGCCCTTTGTATTCATCATGTCTCTATCAAAATAAACCTACGTTTCTATGAAAATTGAAGCTTTTGTTTTTGCGGCCCACATAAACTTAAATCTTGTTTATTTTGTCCATGTTAGCCTTTCAATATGACACACTTGATGTACAACTTCTATCTGTGTTGATAACCAAACCATTCTAGAATAACTAGGTTTCTTATGCCTACAAAATTCTGCAGAGGTTTCCATAGTGGTAAATATTCATTTTAGAACTATGAACCTATTACCAAGAAGAAAATTCTTCTTAGACTGTTGAAACTTCCTTTTGTTCTCATTCTTTCTTTAATGAATATGGGAAAGCAGTTATGCCCTATTAACACATTAATCTTTCATACATTTAGAAAGTTTTTAAGTTCTACTCCTCTAGCCTATATTAAATTCTAATTTTTTACTCTGCTCTATGGCTCTTTTTTTTTTTTTTTTAACATTTTAAATATTATCCACTGGTAGGATAATATTTAAAATGTTAAAAAAATGGTAGGACAAAGTCTTTCCAGACACATCTCCACTTAAATGTTATCAACCACTTAAACTACTTCAAAGATTTATCTGCTTATCTGTTACAAGTGGGTTAAGAGTATTATTACAAATGTATTAATATTAAAGATATTTAAAAAATGCCTAATTGCAAATTCCAACAATAAGTATTAAGTACTTACAATCAATAGCAATTTTTTCAGTTCCATCTAAAGGATTAATAATTCCTGGAACAAGCTCTCCAAATGACAAATGGTCTATTCTGTGAGAAAAGTTGTATGCTGAGGCAAAAAATAAAACCAATTAAGAAGAGAATTATTGTTATTTAAAACACATTACAGATGGTTTCACATTTTTATCTACTTTCAGATGAAAACATCTAAAATCTGCAGGTATAATAAAATAGTATTTAAAACCACATTCATTTTGAGAAAAATGCATATAAATATCTGGGAATTAAATGCATAAAGGTAAGTAAATTCTGATAAAATGCTATATCTCAAATTTCATGATTATATATCAATCAACATCTGAGAAATAATATTACATGTAAGCCTGATAACCCCAAAATAAGTCTTTTCCTGGTCTAATTACCATATAGTAATAGAATTATGTTGTTGAAACCACTGGGATGCTGTCCATGAATCCAAATAATTAACTGATCAGGAATATTTTTAATACCCTGCTATATAGGACCAAACAGATTTTATGACTTTATTACTTTTGTTCTCTAAGGCAGACATTAAAAACTAAGTTTCATGACAATAAGTACAAGGAATTAACTTGAATACTGTATATGCCCATTCTTAGATATTAAAATAAACTTGAAATATGTTTCCTTCATTATCCATAGAAATTAGCAGAAATGTGCACAAAGTAATACAAAGCACACTAGACTGTCTCCCTAACTGGGCAACTTCTGAGTCATGACTAAACAGAAGACAGGAGCTTAAGGACAGGAGACTATGGATTAGAGTTGGTAAATATAATCATTTTCTCCTATGGATATCTGTTTTCAAAATAGTCCACTTTCAAAGCCCTATCTTGCATCTGCAATAAAATAAACAATCAAAACACTTTTCTTTCAAAGACCTCTTCATGGAAAAATATTTCAGAAACTGCTTACAGTCATGATTGACAAGTGCTGCCAAATGTGCATGACCTCGGGGATGTGGAATTGCCCTGAAAGGAGGAAAAAATATTAAAGAAACTAAAGTAATTAGTTAAATATATAACTATTGTAAATTAAAATCTAAAGAGGGATCTTATCTTTTCTAAGTTATATAATTTTCTTAACATAAAATAAAAACATATTTAGCCTATGACTTGTTAAGTCTACTCATCTCAACAATTTAATAAATTGGGGGTTGGCAAACTTTTTTCTGTAAAGATCTATATAGTAAATATTTTAAGCTTTGAAGATATTATGTAGTTAGGCACATAAATAAACTTTCAACTTCAAATAAGCATGGCTAATGTTTTACAGAAAAACATTATTTTTGGATACTGAAATTTGAATTTCATGTATTTTTCATGTCCTATGATATCTTACTCCAAGTAAGTTTCAATGAAGGAAAGGTTATTGAAAACCAGAGGGCACTGGGGGGAAGCATTTTCAGTTGTCTTGGTCATTGGAGAGCTCTATTGGCATTCAGTGGACAGAGGCCAAGGAAGGAAGGCATCCTGCAAGGCGATGACAGTCTCACACAAAATAAAATTGTCTCACATCATGCAAAACCATCCCACATCTTACATGACACTCTTAAAAGGTATTTACATAGGTGAAAAACCTATGTATAATGACCTGAGTCTAGAACTTAACTCCATTTATCTAAAAAAAGTACTTTGTTATAGTTTCAATATACACTAAATTTCTCAGGAAACAGAGGAAATGTTTTTTTTTTGTTTTGTTCACAGTATTACAAAAGTTGTTCACTATTTCAGAGTATCAGTTACACAACAGAAATACCATTCGTGATATGAACACGTTTCAGTCTGCATATGCAGCTGTTGTAATAGACATATAAGTGGCAAGCATCTGCCTATTTAATGTAGTCATGCTCAACAATCTGCATATTGAACTAAATAGTTCTTTATAATACAGTTTAAAAATGATAATATGCCTGAGAAGTAATATGAGATCGTAAAAAAAAAATCAATATTGAATTTGACAAACCTATTACCAAAAAATTAGGAGTGGTTTATAGGATATTTCAGAGATGATAAGATACAAACCAGACGCTTTTCAATTTGGCCTCTCCTATTGCTGGAATGAGTTATCACATGAAGAGATAGGTGAAATTGGGCACAAAGGCTATAATTATGGATGTTCATAGAGTATTTGTTAGCAGAATTTTGCCCTTTCACAGTTAGCTTTAGAGTAGGATATTGTTTGTTAGGTTTGAAGTAGGATATTGTTTGTGGGTGTCAACCTGTGAATCAGGAGGTCACAGTTCAATTGCAGGTCAGGGCACATGCCTGGGTTGTGCTCAATCCCCAGTAGGGGACATGCAGGAGGCAGCTGATCAATGATTCTCTTTCATTGTTGATGTTTCTATCTCTCTTCTCCCTTACCCTATGAAATCAAAAATGTATTTTTTTAAAAAACAAAGAATATTAAAAAGAATTGGACAACAAAGACAAAAAATGTTTGATCTGATCACTATAAATACTGAAATAATTTTGCATATATGTCTCTAAATATATATACAATCTTCAGCCACTTTCTTTCCTGCTTTGTAACCTTTCCCTGAGTGTAGATGTCTTTTTCTCCTTTATATATAAACTTGCTAATCATCCACTAGTATGAACAGTTATGGTTATCCTCAATAAAGCCTCTGCTGACAAGCAAAGTAGGTGAGGTATCTTGTTATATAGTTTCTTATCAACCATACTTCTCCTTTTTAGATTCAATGCAACTATAATGATATAGTTATTAGTTCAATTTTGGATTCTCTCAGACTGTCTGTACGAAATGGACAAAAAATCCCTTTTTTCACTGTTTCATTCTTAGTATCTAGCATATTACTTTGCATATAACAAGTACTCAAAAATGTCTTTTACAATGAAGATGTTCAGTTCTGCAACTCAAGACAAATAGAGGAAGGGAGAGAGAATCAGAGAGTCCATTCAGAAATTTACCAAGTATTCATTACATAACAATTTCTGTGAAGAGTGCAGCTTATGAAGGCTGATGATCTAATATTTTTCCTTAACTGTTATCTAATTTATCTTTTTCCCAAACACTACTAATTTCTAACGATCTCAAAATACCTGTCTCAAATTAGTTAGGATTTAGATTTTGGTGACAATTACCAAAGAGAGAAAAAATACCATCCAACAAAATAAGCAAATTAATGAAATGTCTAGGTAAGAACTTCCAGGCTACTAAAACTTGGTAAGTAGGTTTTAATTCATATTGTACCTACAGCTCATTTACTTTAACATATAAAATATGACGTGACCGTTTAACTTTATTTTAAAGTAGTATTAAAGTTAGTAGTCTTCTCTACCCTGAAATTAAAGCCCGGACAAATCTCAAGACATCAAAAATACAGATACAAAACATTTTAATCTCTCTTAGTAGTTAATTATATATTGTTATTTTAGCAAAGACTTTACTTTTAACAAACTGACAACTTGTCTAAAGTATTTTTCAGTAGGTGAAAAGAACATACTTGCCCACAGTTATGTGAAAATTCCCCGCTACTTTATTGACATATAGATGACCATGAATTCTGCAAGCATTGGGAGGCTGTGATAAATCATCTTCCCTATTATAACAAGATATGCAAGGATTATTTACAACACATACAATATCGTCACCAGTATTGATCTGTAAGAATCAATTTCCAGGTAATTTTCTAAATGTCAAAAGTGGAAAAGCAGTTTTTTGAGGTCTGTACATTTTTTAAAAAGTATATATCTATGAAATAGAAAAAAAATTCATAATTATTATTTGCACATTACATTTTCACAAATCTAAAATTCATGGTTCTTCAAATCTAACCAAAGGAGTAAGTCCCATGATAGAAGAAAGATTAAAAGTAAATAATCAGTTCAACAAAGGCAACTTTCATCATCTGTTTTTGGTACTTAAGAGGATAAGAGAGGATGGGACTATAAATGAGGTAAGAGAAAGGCATGCCATCTAAGTTCAAATAGACAATGACATTTTCTTTCTAAGCAAATGTAAAAACTTTTCAATAGTTTTAGATTTAAATGATCATTTCATGATTATAACATTTCCAACTATCAGTTATTCTGATCTATAAAAAAAGTTTAAAAAAACCCACAAAATTCCTAATCAAAATTCATTCATCCTCATAATATTAAATGCAATTAATTTGTTCTTAAAATATAACAATTTTATATAGAGGTATACCATGCACACATAAGAGAAAAATTAAATAAAATGAAATACAGTGAACACTTAAGCAACGCAAGTGTTAGGAGTACTGAAATTCACATATAGCTTTTGATTCCACCAAAACTTAACACAATTGTCCCTTAGTATCTATAGGGGATTGGTTCTAAGACTTAAGGATACCAAAATTCGGGAATGCTCAAGTAGCCTGTATAAAATAGCATAGCATACAGTTGGTCCTCCACACCTGTGGAGTCCCAACCACGGATGGAAAACAGTACAGGTTATTGAAATAAATCTGTGTATAAGTGGACCTGAGTAGTTCAAACCAATGTAGTTCAAGGATCTACTGTATTTGTGATAATACTGATCAGTATCACAGACTATCGATATAACTTTAAGAGTAAAAGGACAACTTAATCATACAGAATGATTACATTTTCTGAGAAATATGATATCCAGAGAAATGAATCAATGCTAAAATGTCAAAGTAAGTATATTAATAAATAGTTGAACATTTAAAATATACACCTCACCTTAGTGAGAGTGCTGTTGAACTATTAAAAGCATCAACAAAATGAAGAAAACCCACTGAATGGAAGAACATATTCACCAATACATCCGATAAGGGCTTAATATCCAAAATTTATAAGGAACTTATACAACACAACAACAACAAAGAAAAACACAATTCAATTGAGAAATGGGCAAAGAACCTGAATAAACACTTCTCCAAAGAGGACAGACGTACAGATGACCAAAAGACATATGAAAGGATGCTCAATGTCACTAATCATCAGGGAGATGCAAATTAACTACAATGAAGTATCACCTCACACCTGTCAGAATGGCTATTATCAATAAATCAACTAACAAGTGCTGGTGAGGATGTACAGAAAAGGAAACCCTAGTGCACTATTGGTGGGAGTACAAATTGGTGCAGGTACTGTGGAAAGCAGTATGGAGTTACCTCAAAAAATTAATAATGGAACTAACTGCCTTATGATCTAACAATTCCACTTCTGAAAACATATTGGGGGAAAAACCCCAAAACATTAATTCAAAAGAATATATGCACCCCTATATAATGCAGCATTATTTACAATAGGCAACTTTTAGAAGCAGCCCAAATGCCCATCAGTAGACGAGTGGATAAAAAAGTGTTACATCTAGCCAATTATTCAGCCGTTAAAAAAAAAGAAATCTGACCTTTTGTAACATCATGGGGTGGACCTGGAAAGTATACAACTCACCTTGATGGAAGGGGAATTGGACTTTTAATAGCACTTTTAAATAGCACATCTTGAAGTGAATGTTCTTCTTGTAGTCTACTCTGAATCAGCTGCAGCATCCTAAATATAACACAAACAATAGCTTACAAATACAGTAAGATACACAAAGGAAGCCAACCCTTTTTAAATAATCATAATAATTAGATGACTAAGCTAAGCCATATATTTATTATTATAGGACTTTATTCTAATCCTGGAGGTCCAGTGCATGAAAATTCATACACTGGGGGGTTACTTCAGCTCGGCCTTCCCCCTCTCACAGCCAGGGAGCCCTTAGTGGATGTTCTATTGATGGCTTAGAGGACCGGGCCTAAGCCGCAGTCTGGCCTTCCTCTGCCGTAGGCGACTGGGCTGATCAAGGGGAGGTGATGCCCCCATCACGCCTCTGCTGAGCCACTGGCAGCAGTCTGGCCCTGGCACGGCAGCTGCCATCCGTCCAGAAGGACATCCAGAAGACGTCCGCTTTAATTAGCATATTATCCTTTTATTAATATAAAGTATCAAGTTTTCTTTGTTCATTTTCCTTGAAAGTGGAGAGTGAGGTAGGGTGGCTATACGTCTAATAACTGAGCTGCACAATAAAACTGTCTGATTTCATCAATAATGGATGTGCAGTCTGAATCATTAATAAGTAGCTTTTGCTCATCTGAATATCTAAATTCATGCATGCATGCAATAATTATACAATTCTTACTTTTTGTCAGGCTTAAATAACATGTTATAAATACAGAAGAAGTTAGACAAATAAGAAGCCACAGAATAGATCAGATATTCTTAAAAGTGGGTAATAACTGGAGGATAAAGCCAGAGCTTTATCAATTTCTCATCTCAGCCCAGGCCATGGTGCCATTTAATATCACCAGGTATCTCCTTTTTTGAAGAAACCTGAGCTTTATTCTATTCCAACACCATTCTAAGCAAAGTAATATATTCTACCTGTAACTTTTACAAAGAATATCAACATATAAGGCAGAGGATTATAAAAAAACAAAGTTACAATCGAGAACACATGAGCAGATTTTCTTTTTTTTTTCTTTTTTATTGATTTTAGAGAGGAAGGAAGAGGGATGAGAGATAGAAATAGAAACATCAATGATGAGAGAGAATCATTGATCAGCTGCCTCCTGTACGCCCCCTACCAGGGATCGAGCCCGCAATCCAGGCATGTGCCCTTGGCCGGAATCGAACCTGGGAACTTTCAGTCCGCAGGCCAACGCTCTATCCACTGAGCCAAACCAGCCAGGGCATGATTTTCTTTTTAAATATACCTAGCACAAAGAATAAATTGGTTGCTTGAAGATTTTTTGTACAAAATGTGTATGTTCACAATAACTTATGAAATTATTCCAAACAACAAAACCAAAAATAAAAGTTTTCCTCTTAATATTTCTACCTTTGTGCCATATTATCTTCTATCATTTTCAGCAATAACTTTGTATCTTCAAAATTATTTTACCTTCTTTAATTTTCACTGAACATTGTTTCAATATTAGAATCTTGCAAGTAATCTATCCATCAATAATGATCCAATTAAGTATAGTTTATTCATAAAACAAGACTGCTACATGTACTTAAATGGGAAATTGTACAAAATACCATGTTAGATGAAAAAAAGCTTGTTATTGAACAGACATGAAATTATCCCATTTATATTAGAAAAAATTACGTATAGCACATTATATTGTATATGAACAGAAAATTTCTAGAAGGCTACACAAGAAATCTGATTCTTACCGCTAGTCATTAGTACTAGGTTTATGGAATGCTGAGGAGGCTTTTACTTTTACATTGTATCCTTTCTGTCCAAAATGAATGTTAATCAATGATCAAATATTGTTTTTAAAATTTTTTTAAATAGTTAATAAAATTTTAAATGAAACCTAAAGTGTACTATGATTCAAAGTCCATTAGATATAGAATTAACATGACTTTCTTAAGATCTGGTGAAATTTTTGAAGGTGTAAAGATTATATTATATGATATATTCTGCTAATATTTCATCCAGAGATATGCCTTAGTAAATATGCCAATCTATGAAGTCACAATAAACAAAATAGACAAAATGGGATCTAGATTTCTTTGGACCACAATACTTAGTATACTTATTACCTCTGCCACTCTTTTTGCTGTGGAGAAAGATCAAACATTACCTAAAATAAAGAAAAACATAATCATCAACATTGTCTATTTCTCTTGGCTTTTATATAATAATTTTTTTTAATGTTCTTTGAACAAGAAACAAATTTATAGTGTTGTAAAAAACAAGTATTCCTGTTTATATTGAATCTTCTATCTTTAAGTCAACCTAAAAATTTTAAATTATTTTTATTTAAAAGTAGTATAAAGAAATATTAATAATTTAAATAATGCCAGCATAAAACTTTAATTAAAAAGGAAAAAAGGAAAAGAGGAAAAAAAATACAGTGTAAGTGTAATATTAAATCTTCCAAAGCCCATATTCTTGCTGGGATAATCCATGATCAGATCAACATTCTTTTTAAATGAGCTTAAAAAAAAAAAAGAACTGTAATTCTTAAATGTGTTAATCATTAAAGAATAATTCAAGAAATTTTATTTGAGCATTAACTTCATCAATTCAAAATCAGACGTGGCTACTTTTATTAGAATGAAATATGAAAGCTTCTCATGGTTTGAGACAATATCTACAATTTAAAATTAAATTGCAACAAAAAGTCCACTTTTTATTTTCATAAAAGTAATTCTTAATAAAGCATATTAATTGTACTTTTTAACTTATTAGCATTATTAGTTATCCCTCAATAATTGGGCCCTAACTTTCATTCTCTCTTTACAAATACTTGCTTTTAAAAAAAAGAGGAACAATCCCTCATTCTATCAAACAGTTCTGCCTTTGTGCCTTTGGTTATTTAATTATACCAACCTGGAACATCCTTCTCCTGTAATTATGACCATTATGGCTTTCTAAACTCTATAAATCATATACACCAAGTTAAATTGTCCCATCTTTCTGATTTCAATAAATTTATTCTGATTTCTTCTCCTGCTAAACTTGTCTGCAGCATGATTCCCAACTCTCTTCACACCACTGCACACAAAGGTAATGCTAATATCTGAAAATCACCATGGAGTTTCTCCCCAGTTACCTTATGAATAAAATGATTGGAAGTAGAGACAGAAAAAAATGGCGTGATCTGCACAAAATCTTAAAGGTAGAAAATATAATCACTAAATTTTAAAACATAATGAGGACATTGAAAAGAAGATTGGTCCTTTTGGATCAAGATAATCTCCCAGAACTCAGAGGCAAAGTTCAAAATATATATTTAATGTGAAGATTAATAAAGATACGGAGAACCACTCCACAAAGTTCAACATCATATGATCATTTGAAAAAGAGGTGAAAGCAATGCTTTGAATAGCATTATAGCAAACAAGCAAAAACACTTAAAAAGTAAGATTACCAAGGACCAAAAACAAAACAAAAACTAAAGGAGATACACCCTTGGATATAAAGAATAAATATTTGATTTCAAAAGTGAAAGAATAAAAAAGCATACAAACTCTAAGAGAAAACTATTAGAAAGCATTAACAAAAATATAAAATAAGAATAAAGTTATAAAACAGACATTAAAGGCTTATTAAAAATGCTAATAATGGTTATCTCAAGATTTTAGTATTAGATAAAACTTTTCACCCCTAAATTTTTTACAAATAATATGGATTACTTTTGCATTAAGAAAATATGTTTTAAAAACTAGCTGAAACAAAACCAATAGAAAATACCAAACTATTTTTTAAGGGGCAATTTCTCAAAGCATATTATATTAAAAAACATGAATCAAACTTACTGGTTCATAAACTAGACCATCTGCAGATGCAACCATTGTTTCTGCTAAATCCAATACATCTGCTCCAATATCTGCATTTAAAAAAAATTAAAAGTTTTACATTCTATGCTAAGTGTCAAACTGTATCTGAAATAAAGTAACAAATTAAGATGACTAACAGAAAACTCACTTTCCTATACTGGTTATAATTATAGATTTGATAGAAATTAATAAAAAAATGTTTTTTCTATTTTTTACACAGTAAAAAAAATGACTCAGCATTTCATGGTAAAACATATAAACTTTATTGAAGAGCTTTTCAAAACTTGGAACCTACTCTCAAGTAGTAAATGGCTGCTACACAAACTATTAATTACAAGGATTATTTTTAGAGATTAAAATAAACCTTAAGGCAAAGCTATTTATGAATTTTTAAATATCGATAGAAAGTTCATTTTGAAAATGCTAAAATTCTAATGGTGTTCAAATATCTAAAATAAGGTAAAATAATATATTCAGCATTAACACTAGCTCATAATTTGGATACAAATTATTTCTCTTAAAACCACTAACGTAAGGAAAAATAAATGGAAACAGAAAAGAAATCTAAGTCTGTTCTAAGATAAAATCTCCCCAAAAATAATTTCCTTAATTGGGTAATACTATTTAACACTTTAAAAAATTTTATCTGAACTACTGAATTCTTGTCTCTACTTTTCAAGTGGTAGTTTAAAAGACAGCTTCCATGCAAAAGCATCCTCATATTTTTTTTTGGGGGGGGGGGGAACTTGCATTTTTAGATTTTTTAAAAAAATGTATTGATTAAGGTGCTGCCTATGTGTCCTTATTCCCCCATTTCCCCCCTTATCCCTCCTCATGCCCTCCCTCACCCCCCTGTTGCCTGTTGGTTAGGCTTATATGCATACATACAAGTCCTTTGGTTGATCTCTCCCGCTTCCCCCCACCCTCCCCTACCTTCCCTGCGAGGTTGAATGGTCTGATCGATGTTTCTCCTCATTTTTTAAGAGCACTACTGATTCAGCACTACTGAACCTCCCTCTTATAATTTAACCAATATTCAAAATATCCTAAAATTATTCTATTTTATTACCTAAAATACATATTAACTTTTTTTATTTTTTTACTTCTACCAATATAATCAAGTAGTAAGTGAAGAAAACAGAAAAGAAATCACTATTAACTTAAAATATTTTAATACGCAAGAGTAAAAGTAAAGGGCGGTAAGTTAAAAGAGTGAAACAGGATATTCTTGAAGAACATAAAAACTGGTAGTTCACATAATAAATAAATAAAGGATGTACCTAAATTAAAACTCTGATTCAGATAGATATCTCTCTCCCTCTCCCTGCCTTGTTCTGAAATCAATTAAAAAGATACACATATTTTAAAACTTGGATTCACAAAAATTTCCTCCTATATTTTTTAATTATTTGAATGTGAAAGTTAAATCTCTTCTCTTTCTGGATAAGAAATTTAAAGAATATACAATAATTTGGGGAGAAAAACAACATACATTATTAAATAGCACTGCAACAGCATGTTAAGACATCATAAAAGAAAAATAAAGTTAAAAGACAATGAGTGGTTTTTACTTTTTACTAGCAATTGTTTAAACAACTATATGTACTTACACTGACACTTCATGGCAACAGTAATATCTATATTGATTCTCAATTTGCTAAAAGACATAAAAGAAACTTTAGTACTTATCAAGTAATCAACAAAACATGAGAAATATAAAACAATTTTATGAAAAACTAGGATTTCAAAACTATGTCGATTAGAACTTGGATAGTATTTTTTATGGCCGAAGTCACTTTAAAAGTTAAAATTCTATTTTGCAATTATTCCAAAAGACTTTCTGATTTCACAGGTTTTTAATATAGTACTCTGCAATTTAATTTTACTAAATTAAGTAACTCCAAGAAACTCAGAAAAATAAGTTTTTAAACTTTGTTTACATAAGCCTTATATAGAATATTCCTTTAAAACTTTTAAAATCAAGAGTTAGGAATTGCAAGTCTTTCTCCTCTATTTATCAAATAAATACTATACATCAGGCATTATACCTGACTCCTTACAAATATTATCTCCTTTATTCTTTATCATGGACATGTAAATTGGGTAGCTTCACAGTTCTGTAGATAACACAATGGTGTTCAGGGCAGTATAAATGCCTGGCTTAAGATCACATACCTATTGTATTGGCTTATGAAAAACTAGGTTTGTGTGACTTGATAAATGCAATCAAATTGCCATAAAAAACCTCTCATGCTTCACGTTTTGCATGATCTTCCTAAAAGGTTCAACTAATGCTTTATTTCCAAATGATGAATTTAAATTGAATTAATTTTTAAATATTACAATCAATTAAGCACCATGAATAACAGAATGAGTACTGTCAATATTAGTTTTCACCATGAATAACAGAATGAGTACCATCAGTATCTGTTTTCCCTGGGCTATCAAAACTTTTTTCACTCTAATAATTTGAATCTGGTTTCAATAGAAGTTTTTAGAGCTCTAAAAGATTTTCCAATAAATTTTTAGAGCTTCACAGTCTTCCAGTTGTCTAGATTCAAGCAGTGCTCTAATAATCCAGAGGTTTATGCACAAGAGATATGGTGGGAACCAGTGATGACCAATTAGGCAAGCTTTTGCGGTAAGCTATATTAAGAGTCCATTTGAAAAAAATTAAGTGCTTCATTGGTGCTACAAATAAACAAAGTAAGGAAAATAACAAATCTTTTAAAAACCTACATTATCAAGAATAATACACAAGGTATAGATAAAGAAGCTGAGGCTCAAAAGAAGTAAGTTGTGTGACTTACCCAAGGTTATACAGCAATTTATAAATGTTTTACTTCTCACTAGTGTCATGAGTAAAGTACCATGATTATTTTCCCCATTTAATAAAAAAAGTACCTGAAGCATATACATATACAGATTTAGTAACTTCCATAGCTACTAAATGCAGAACTGGGATTGAAATTGAGAAGTAAATGTCTCCCTTATCCAGTACAATCTTTATAATATAAATCTGTTATCTTTAATCAATTAAAATCCAAATACTACAAATAAAATAAGGTATACTTTGTCTCTTTATTAAGGTAGTATATTTTCAAAGTTTTAAGTGATATTAATTATTTACATTAAAGTTAAATTTAGATATAATTTATAAAAATCAAGTTACAAGTATAAATAATGTATATTTAAAGAATATATTTTCCAAATTACACAGATCAGTATTTCAAATTCTAAAGAGTAAACAATTTTAAAACATTAAATAATTCCTACCTGTTCAACACATTAAAATAAAAACATATTATAGTCTCCTAACCTTTTTATACAGTGCATATTAAATAAGAGAACCTCCCTCTTATAATTTAACCAATATTCAAAATATCCTAAAATGATTCTAATACATTAATTATGAGAAGTTATCAGAACTAATTCTTCAGAACTAAAATAAACCAAATATAAAAGTTAGACATTTTTAAAAAAGGTATGTTATCTTTAAAACAATTTGAATCTAAAGGTATTTCAAGAAAAAAAAAAGTTACCTAGAAAAATCCTTGTCTACTTCATATTCATACTTCATCCATGTATCCTGATATACTGAAAATTCCATTATGGTTAATAAAGCCATAGTGGTGAATGCTATTAAAGAAACTGAGAAATCAAACAAAAAAGAGAGAATTAAAACAATTTTGTAAAATAATAGGAAACTATTTTTAGTGAAATTATATATATATATATATGAATGTCTTAATGCTTGTCATGTGAATTATTACAATAAAGTTTTTCTTAAAATGTCCAGTATAGATTTTTTCTAAAACAGCTCAAAAATATTTAACAAACACTAAAATTAACTCAAATATTTGTATTATTGAGAAAGCATTTTATTTCTTCAATATTACAAGACATCAAACTTTTACTTTCTTATACATAGCAGTGTCAGACATAATAAATATTTCACAATACAAATTTGAAAATAGTCCCCTCATAATTAAAAATGGGTCCATGCCTGCAGCCCAATTAAAAAAAATAACATACATCTCAAATCTGTTATAACACTTTCATGTACTTTGGAATCTCCTAAACATACTACTGCATTTATAAAAGCAACTCAAAGGTGAGAAAAAGGAAAGAATTATCATATACTATGACAAAACATCCTTAAAATTTATTGTACCACGAGAACTTGCACTATTTTTATTAATAAAAATTAATCATGAGATTAGAAATAGCAAGCAACTTTATACACATTTACCAAATGAAACATATCGGGTCTAGTAATAATTAATGTCGTTTTTAAACATTCGTTTAAAATCTTGCTTGGCGTTGACTTGTATTGACATAACCTTCAAACACGTGGTATCTACAGAACGTGTGAAGTGCAATTAACAAGTTTTGCTTGAAAAAGTTTGTGTTTGGTTTGGTTTTTGTTGCAAAACTAGGGCTAAGAAGATGGCGGATGAAGAGCATATTCGGCACTGCATGCTTTACGAGTTCCAATTAGGAAGAAAAGCAAGTGAGGCTGCAAAAAACATCTGTAGTGCTCTTGGTCAAGATGCAGTTAGCGCCAGAAAATGCCAGCGTTGGTTTGAGAAATTTCGCGAGGGAAATTTTTCATTAGATGACAAGAGTGGTCGAGGCCCTGTGTCCAATTTTGATCAAGAAGCTCTTCAAGCTCTTTTGGTGCAAAATCCTCAAATTACCCAACAAGAGCTTGCAACAACTTTAAATTGTTCACAAAAAAACAATTTCCAATCAACTGCGTGCACTTGGCAAAGTCCAAAAGTTTGGAAAATGGGTTCCTCATGAGTTGACCGACAACAACTGTAATCAAAGAGACAATTTGCAGTTCGCTCCTCTCTCGTCAAAACCGTTTGCCGTTTTTAGAGCAAATTGTTACCGGAGATGAACAATGGGTGCTGTATGTTAATTTGAAAAGGCGGCCTCAATGGTTGGACAAAAATGAGGCTCCGCAGCCCACGCCAAAACCTGACTTGCATGCGAAAAAAGTGATGTTGTGTGTTTGGTGGAATTTTTTTTTTTTTTTAATTTGTATATTAATATATTTATTTATTTTTTTTTTGATTTTTTTTAATTAATTAATTTTTTTTTTACATATTTTAATGATTTTTTTTGCCCCCCTCCCTCCCTCCCCCATATCCCCTCCCTCCCCATAGTTTTATGTCCATTGGTTGTACTTATATTGTTTGGTGGAATTTTAAAGGAATTCTTCATTATGAACTTTTACCATCTAACCAAACCATTACAAGTGCAGTGTATAGTGCCCAATTGGAAAGGTTAGCCCAAGCTTTAAGAGAAAAAGAACCCGCGCTGATTAATCAGAAGGGCGTAATTCTTCACCACGATAACGCACGACCGCATACTGCAAGAATCACTGCTGAAAAACTGCGCCAGTTGGAATGGGAAGTTCTCCCTCAACCTGCATATTCTCCTGATATTGCCCCTTCCGATTACCAATTGTTTCGTTCTTTGCAAAACTTTCTTCTTGGAAAAAAATTTAATAATGAAGAATGCCTCAAAAATGCATTGACCGAATTTTTTGCATCAAAATCACAAGAATTTTACAACAGAGGGATTAAAATGCTTCCTGAGCGTTGGGCACAAGTAGTAGAAAACAACGGCAACTATATTGTTGATTAAATTTTGTTGTATTGTTTAAATAAATTCGATTTAAAAAAAAGTATTAGAAAACGACATTAATTATTACTAGACCTAATATGTTATTAGCTCTTCAGAGGAAAATAATAGTAAATACTGTTATAGTTCCATATTTTTCTTACATATTCCATTATTAATTTATTTTATTTAACAACTAGAGGCATTGTGCACGTGCAGGGGAGGTAATCCCTCAGCCCAGCCTGCACCCTCTCCAATCCAGGACCCCTCGGGGGATGTCCGACTAACAGTTGGACATCCCTCTCAAAATCCAGGTCTGCTGGCTCCCAACTGCTCACTTGCCTGCTTTCCTGATTGCCCCTAACCACTTCTACCTGCCAACCTGATCACCTCCTAACCACTCCCCTGCCAGCCTGATGGATGCCTAACTGCTTCCCTGCCAGCCTGTTTGCCCCTAACTGCCTTCCCCTGTAGACCTAGTCACCCCTAACTGCCCTTCCCTGCAGGCCTGGGTCCCTCTCAACTGCCCTCTGTTGCTGGCCTGATTATCCACAACTGCCCTCCCTTACAGGCCTGGTCCCTCCCAACTGCTTTCCCCTGCTGACCATCTTGTGGTGGCCATCTTGTGTCCACATGGGGGCAGGATCTTTGACACCATCTTGTGTGTTGGAGTGGTCAATCTGCATATTACTCTTTTATTAGATAGGATAGATGCCTGGTGCACAAGTGGGGGCCAGTTGGTTTGTCCTGAAGGATGTCCCGGATCAGGGTGGGGGTTCTCTTGGGGAATGGGGTGACCTGGGAGAGGGGGTCTGTGGTGGTTTGCAGGCCAGCCACGCCCCCTGGCGACCCAAGCAGAGGCCCTGGTATCTGGGGTTTATTTATCTTCTACAATGAAACTTCGTAGCCTGGAATGGAGCCAAGCTTTCTGCTCGCTCTGTGGTGCTTTCTGCAGCCGTTTTTGTTGGGATTGATTTACCTTCTATAATTGAAACTCTGTAGCCTTAAGAAGAGGCCTAGGCTGGCCAGGTTGTATGGAAAGCTTGACTTCCTCCATGGCCGGTGAAACCCAAGCCTCCCTCCTGTTCTCTGTGGCTGTAGCTATCTTGCTTCAGTTTATTTGCTTATTTGCTCCTGACTGGCTGGTGAGCATGGCTTGTGGGTGTAGCAGAGTGATGGTTAATTTGCATATTACTCTTTTATTAGATAGGATTACTTCTATCTGTACCAGGTACTATTCTAAACATTTTATAAATATTAACTTATTTAATCATTACAGCAACCCTATTACGTAAATACTGATATCATCCCCATTTTATGGATGAACAAACTAAAGCAGAGGCCAGAGGTGTATGATTAACGTCCTCAAAGTCATTTAGTTAGGAAGGAAGAAGGGTGATTTAAATCCTTACATCTGGTTCCAAATCCAAGCTCCTATTACCCTATGCTGCCTCTCTACAGTAATGTGAAATTTAAGAATTTTTATTATAATGTATAAATTGATTTATTCTTAACCAAAAAGGCACTGAGCCAGTTTCACATCATTAAATAACTTCTTCCAAGTTAAATTATATTTGTACGTAATCATCCTATTAATATAATTATACATAACTCAATAGCAATAAAGAAGTAAAATTGGATTAACTTATTCCATAATGTTTTAATGAGTACTGTTAAATGTTTGGACTACACTGAGTTAGATGCCAAAGAGATATCTATAATAACAAAAGAGTAATATGCTACTTTGAATGGACAGCCTAACAACCTTCCGGACATCATTCTGTACATCCTTCTGGACTAAGCCACAATGGCAGGGGCAGAGGCAGACATAGTTAGAGGCAATCAGGCAGGCAGGCAGTGTGGTTAGAGGCAATCAGGCAGGCAGGTAAGTGGTTAGGGGCGATCAGGTAGGGAGGCAGAGTGGATAGGGGCAATCAGGCAGGCACACAGGCAGGCCAGTGGTTAGGAGCCAGCAGTCATGGATTGAGAGAGGGATGTCCGAATGCTGGTTTAGGCCCGATCCCACAGGGATCCCAACTGCCGGTTTAAGGATCGGGCCTAAACTGCCATTTGGACATCCATGAGAGGTCCCGAACAGCAAGAGGGTGCAGGCCAGGATAAGGAACCCATCTGCTCCCCTCATGCTCAAATTTCATGCACCTGGCCACTAGTATCCTAAATATAAAGAGGTAATATGTAAATTAACCTTCATGCCCTCACAAGATGCTGCCTACAACCAGGCTGGCCAGGGGTTAGTGAAGGACAACCAAACAAATGAACAGCAGGCTGTGGGGCATCCAGGCCAGCAGGGGGGTTAGTGAGGGATGACCAAAAGGACGGAACAACCAGGCTGGCAGGGGGGATTAGTGAGGGATGACCAAATGACGGAATAGCAGGCTGCGTGGGGCGACCAGGCTGGTGGGGGCTGTGAGAGGCAACCAGGCCAGCAGGGGGGGCAGATGGGGGCAATTAGGCTGCTGGGGGCGCAGTGAGGGGCAACTAGTCTGGCAGGGGGGCAGCAAGGGGTGACCAGGCCAGCAGGGGGGATAGTTAGGAGCAACCAAGCCAGCAGGGAGGGTGGCAGTTGGGGGCGACCTGGCTGGCAGCAGGGGCAGTTAGGGGTAACCAGGCTGGCAGGGGGGCAGTTAGGAGCGATCAGGCCGGCACACAGAGGCAGTGAGGGACAATCAAGCCAGCGGGGGGAGGGGGGGGGGATGATAGTTAGGGACGACCAGGCAAGCAGGCAGGTGAGCAATTAAGAGCCAGTGGTCCAGGATTGTAAAAGGAATGTCCAACTGCCAGTTTAGGCCTGATCCCCCAAGGGGTCACAGATTGGAGAGGGTGCAGGCTGGGCTGAGGGAAACCCTCCCCCCCTCCAACCCCCCCCCCCCCCTGTACACGAATTTCATGCACTGGGCCTCTAGTGTATAATAAAATTATAGCAAAACAGCATCACATAAGGACAGACCAGTTACAAAGTTATATGTTGATGAGTTCTTCCTCATGGCTCTATTTCTGTATGTTGTTAAATGGATCACTCAGAAACTCCATTTAGTGTAACAGTTTTAATTTGAATGGATACTCACCTGTCCCCCCACTGGCTGAAGTCTCTACATAGCTCTCAGGAACCTTTGGAAAGGCATCCAACTCTTTCACCAAATTTAAGGTTTTTTTTCGATTCAGTCGCCTCATCTTCAGGAAAACCTTCTCCTTTCATATAGTCATGCTAAGAAATAAACAATGAATAAATGTATCCTCGAAAAAGATAAAAAGGTTTATTTTTTGAAACTGATAAATGTCCTTAGAAGAACTTAATATTCTCATTCCTCCTTGAAAAAAACAAAAAGCAACTTAACATTTATTCACAAATTTCCTTTTTTCCATCCCCACCCTGACAAACACAAACACATAAAATAGGGAGGGGGAAAAAAAAGGAAAGTAGTCAATCATATTTATAATATTTAAATACACAAATCAAAATACATATTTCTCCTATTAAGTTTACACATATAGGATATCCCAAAAATATGTGCATACACTTTAACAGCTGATAACTCACTTAATTTTCACTCCTTTTCAGGTTCAAATGATTTGAAACAAGGGATGAAGCCAGACTAGACTTTGAACAAAAAAAATTTATCCTAAAGTGCCACTTGACTTTTTTTTATGGTGATACATGAAATATAAAGTTTACGGCATAAAACCGGCACAGTGGCCAAATTGAGGGCACACAAATACTGAAATAAATGATTCTAGATGTTTGTGATTCCATTGCTTCGAGTTATCAGCAGTGCCTGGACCAGAGCAATTATCAGCTTGAAAATAGTCATTAACAACAACAAAATTCATTTTTGTGGATTCTTTTAAATTTTGAAAATGAACTGTATGTAAATAAACACTGGCTTTATAATCATTCAAAGTGAGCACACATTTTAGGGGGACATCCTGTGTAGAAAAAATAATACATTCTCACTAGTAAATGACAATGAAGCAAATTAAGCATGCTCATACATTGCTAATGAGAAGATAATTATATACCATTCCCCTTTTGACTAAATTCCATTTTTAGAAATGTATCTTAAGGCAACAATCTGAATTATGCACAAAACTTGGATCTTAAGGATATTTCTCATATTGTTATTTATGACTATTGAAGATAGAAACAAACTCATGGTATGCAATATATACATAAAAATGTTAAAAAGTAGATCATGGGAGGACTTTAATTATTTTACTTACAAACTGTAACTTTTATGACTGACTTATAGAAATAACATAGGTGATACTATAAAGCATTACCAGAAATCAACTATATTAATAAAATAAACACTTAACTGAGAATAAATCAAATGGTACAAAAGCCATTTAAAGGGAAAAAAAAATGTCTCTAGAAATAAAAAGCAGAAAGATTTGTCTAAAACTTAATGGGTGGGGTTAATATAGAAAGAGTAAGCCACAGAAAGGACATTCAGAGAAAAAAAGGATTGTCAGAGAAATAAAAAGTGGCAGCAACCATGAATACTGTCCAAGAGAGCAGGTCTAAACAGGGACATTACTAATTGGTCCAGGAAGGCACTACTGTCCTAGAGTGAAGCTGGATGCATGTACCCTGTTTCTCCAAAAGAAAGACAATGTATTATATTAATTTTTGCTCCCAAAGATGCGCTAGGTCTTATTTTCAGAGGATGTCTTATTTTTCCTTGAAGAAGAATACGGTACACATTTATTGTTAAATGAAAATAAAGGAAATTTATTACCTGTATACAGTACGGTAGTACGGTAGTTGTCAACACAAACCAGACAAACTGAATCCTACATTATCAAGAATTTACTCATTTATTCAATGACAATCATGTCATCATCTTCTGGAACATCATCATAACAATCTAATTCCTGAATTTCCTGGTGAATTTCTTGTGACTCCATTTCTTTCAGAATCAGTGGACCAAATCTCTCATGTTTAGCAATAGCACTGTCTTTAAATGAGTAACGTCACTGGTTGCTAGACGCCAATCGGGGTGGCCCTAATGACCAGTTTACGGTAAATTAATTTTCATTCTGAGATAGAGCCTAGGGGGGCCTTATTTTCGGGAGGATGCCTTATATTTCACTCAGAAGGAAACCTGTAAGTAGGTCTTATTTTCAGAGGATGTTTTATTTTCGGGGAAACACGGTACTAGTATAGGTAGATTTCATTTGCCATTAGCAACATCCAACTAACTCCCCTTGGTGATTCCACGCTCACAAAGTGGGCTTCGGGTTATAATTATGATTCTCAAGATTCTCAAGTATATGGTTTTCCTAAAAAAAACAACCAAAAAAAAACCACACAAAAAGAAACCCCCCAAAAAACATGTAGACAAAATAGACGATATTTTCTAATTCCCAGTAAAGTTATAAAACTAGTATTCTCATTTGTAAATTAAGCTTCTGAGTGTTTGTTAAGCATAAACCAGGCTCCTAGACCAATCTTCCTTTAATCTATCAATTCCTATTCATTTCTCCTACTGGAGTTAAATGTTAAATATGTTCAATCTTCTTATCTCTAAAACTCTCCATTAAAGCTCAAGTACAACTCCAACTATTGATCTCTGTCTGCATACCTATAGGCAAACTAAAAAGAGTAAGTTGTGGCCCTAGCTGGTTTGGCTCAGTGGATAGAGCGTCCACCTGTGGACCAAAAAGTCCAGGGTTCAATTCCAGTTGCAGACTGCAGGCTGCTGGTGCTGGTCAGGGCATGTGCAGGAGGCAACCAATCAATGTTTCTCTCTCAGATGGATATTTCTCTCTATCTTTCCCTCTCTCTTCCACTCTCTCTAAAAATCAATGGAAAAATATCCTGGGAGAGAATTAACAAAACAAAGAGTTAAGTTGTCCCCATTCATCTGCTGTGACTATTTCTCAGCACAGGCTCATTTAAGTAAATTTCTCTCAGCAAGGTCACTTCCTTCCTTAGTACCAAATCCAGTGGACATGTGCAGTCTTTAGGTAATTTTGCCTATGAGAAGAAAACCTCCCCTTTTTCTTCTGGAAACTCTCTTCCTTGGAATAATTTTCATTCTACCTCTAAGACTTCTTTGGCTTACTTTGAAGATCCTTCTGCCTCCCAATTATATCGTAAGCCTTCCTCCCAACCTTCACACTTCCCCAAGCAACCTCCCATTTCTTCATTTTCCTTCTACATGATTCCACTCAAATCTTTATTCCCAATCCAAAGCTCTCTGCAGACATGTATTATCTTGCTGCCTTCTACATTCTCATGGGGACATTCCAAATACATTTTAGACTCAACAAGTCCAAAAATGAATACTTCGCTTTACCAAACTTGTTTCTCCTGTGTCCCTATCATAGTTAATGATGACACCCAGTGCCCCCAAACAAAAGGTAGTAACACAGGACAGAAACATGAATTACATTCTTAAACTTAAGTTCTTCTTAAATTTCTTTCAAATCTGTCTTCTCTTTTCCAGGCTCACTGAGAAGTTCCTTACTAGCACCTTGGTCCCAATGGCCCCAATCTATCGCTGCATTGCTTCAATGTTTACTCATCAATCTTTCAATTCACTTTCCATGCTACAACCAATAATCTTTTTAATACATAAAAGTGATTATATGCATTTTCTCTTAAAACCTTTGTCATACCCTTTACATTTGAAAAGTTTGGATTCTATCCTAACAGTTTAAAAAGCCCTCAAAAATCAGGTCCTGCCCAGCCAGTATGGCTCAGTGGTTGAGCACTGACACATGCAACAGGAGGTCACCAGTTTAATTCCTGGTCAAGGAATATGCCCGGGTTGCAGGCTCGTCCCCAGCAGGAGGCCGGCAGTAGGCAGCAGTTCCATGTGATGTTTCTTTCTCATTGATATTTAGATCTCTCCCTTCCTCTTTCTAAAATCAATAAAAACTTAAGACAAACAACAGCAACAAAAAACAGGTCCTGCTTATCTCTTCAAACTCAATCCATCAATGTCTAAATTCTAGACAAATCAAATCACTTTCTAGTCCTTTAACATGTTCTTTCTGCCAGATATAGCCATTCCCCCTCTCTCCCACCTCTATATTTGGCTAACTCCCATTTATTCTTTAAATCTCAGTCTAGACATCTCTATTTTGAAGAGGGGTAAAACCCTATTACCTCATATGTAGTATTAGTTATAGTGCATGCTCCAAAAACACTGTTCCTTAATGCCTGTTTAATTTTCTGTTTTTGCCATTATAATATTACAGCAGGAGCTGAAACCGGTTTGGCTCAGTGGATAGAGCATCGGCCTGTGGACTGAAAGGTCCCAGGTTGAATTCTGGTCAAGGGCATGATATCTTCGTTGCGGGCATGTCCCCAGTAGGGGGTGTGCAAGAGGCAGCTGATTGATGTTTCTCTCTCATCAATGTTTCTAGCTTTCTATCACTCTCTCTTCCTCTCTGTAAAAACTCAATAACATATATATATATATATATATATATATATATATATATATATATATATATATATATTTAAAATATATTACAGCAGGAACCAGCAAAAATATATTATCTTTGTATATCTAGTACCTGGCATAGCAAGTATTTGATAAACATTTGTGGAAGGAAAAAAATAAGGAAGGTGGGAAATTTCCCCAGAAACACCCATGATTGCACATCTTTCCAATAGAAACAAGCTATCATTTTAGAATATATATCTATATATTCTATAAAGAGAAGTTTTCTGTTTTATTCTCTGCAGTATATCACAAGCATCTAGAACAGTAATTGGCACATAGCAGGTCACATTATTGGGCAAATGAATAAAACTGTAAATATTAGTTCCTAAATTGACTATACTGTTACAAGCTTTATAAATGCTCTTTAAATTATATGTAATATAAAGATATACAAAAGTTAGTTTTACAAAGCCTCTTAACAATACATATAGCCTATTCAGCACTCCTCTCTTAAAAGTCTAGCTAGTCTATCCCACTATGCTGCCTCTCAGTCTTTAGCTTCTTCCATTCCTATTTTTCATGATTACTCTTCTGCTACTCCTGCCCCATCCCTGTTAGTTCAGCACCAACCTACATCCAAGAAACTCATTGCATCTCCAGTACTTGCCACTCTATTCTACAGAGCCACAGTTTTGTGTGTGTTGTTTGTTTTCATTGATTTCAGAAAGGAAGTGGGGATGAGAGACTCATCCATCGCCTCCTATATGCCCCTACTGAAAATGGAGCCTGCAAAAGCCACAGAACCACACTGGCAGGGCACCACTGTTCTGATATGAACAGTTACCCATAACTCCTAGCTTTACTAAAAACAATCCTTCTACTGTCTCTCAATATGAAAACCTGACGATCAACTGGTGGTAATTCCTTTAAATCCGTATTTTAATTCTGAGACTCAAAGGGTAAAAAATTAGCATGTCTCATCATGATTTCTCAACCACCCCTTCTCTTTTCAACTCTATCTTCGAATGAACTCATATACCACATAGAATTATAGCCTAATTTTCATATTATGTGCTAGATATTATATGAGGACTTTATATATTAATTTAATCCTCTAAGCCACTCTATGAAGTAGATAACTATTTTTATCTCATTTATATATAAGGATATTGAGGCACAGAAAAGTCAAGTAATTCTGGTAAGGCCTTTCAACAGGTGGGAGAACCTGGAATTGATCCCAAGCAGCCTGACTCGAGAATTCATGCTCTAAAATAGGGGTGTCGAACTCAATCAGAGAAGGGGCCAAAATCTAAAATCCAGCCTAAATCGCGGGCCGAATGGTTTACTGAACAGTCATAAATTGTCATTGTGATGGAAACGCAGCGGAGTGCAGTGATGACAGCGTGGTGCGGGCCACACTGCAAGGCCTGGCGGGACGGATTTGGCCTGCGGGCCTTGTGTTTGACACATGTGCTCTAAAACATAGTGTACACTCTCACTTTAGTACTTATTATTGTTTTCTCCATCTGGATATGTTTATAATTTTCAGGAGGGGATAAAAGGTGATAGAGGAGACTTGACTTGGGATAGCGAACACATAATAAAATATACAGATGATTTATTATTGAGCTGCACGCCTGAAACATATGTAATTTTATTAACCAATGACAACCAATGCATTCAATATTCAAAATATAAAACAAAAAAACTTTTTAAAAAAGACAAAAATGACTTTGGCAACTGGATCTCTTTATTTGTTTCTCTTCTCCCCCATCCCATGACCATCCTTTGAAACTCACAATCTGATGACCCTTATCCTATGGTGGTCACTCACAATTAGAACCCTTTTACCTGTAAACCTAACAGGTCTTCTCAAGCGATCTCCATCTTAATTCCACCCAAAGCCTCACACTAGCAGGGCCATCTTTTGGCTCCTCTTAATTTCTTAAACCGTTCCACCTCTAAAATCCAAGAGACTTATTTTCCTCTCGAAGCATAACCAATTATCCTTCCAGCTCCTTAACGGTCTGACTAGGACAGAATCTGCTCTTCATTTTCCCTGTGTTTTCAATATCTTGGACTCCTCCGCTATCCAGTTCTATTGCTCCCATTCCCACTCTGTTTGTCTCACCATCCAGACACTTTTTATGAGCTAACTTCTATTTAAAAAAAAAAAAAAAAAAAAATGAAGAGCGCTTTAGTAATTCAGGGGTAAGAGATTTAAGAAAAAAAAATTTTTTTTTAATGGTCTTCTTCAGTCTGTATTTTGACTAAGTACCAGGGCAACATTTTGTGAGTAACCACAGAAGTTAGAAAATAAAAACTTAAAAATAACAAGAGCTATCATTCAATCCTCATCAATCACCACATGAGTTATTATTTATTCCCATTTTGCAGATTAGGAAACTAAGGCACAAAGTGTTTAATTTGCCAATCAGGACATTTAAGAGACAATAACAATACTGAAAAACTGTTAACTAGAGTTGGTAGCAGGAAGAGACTGCCTCAAAGTAACCTGTATAAAAAATAAAATCACTATTTCTTCCAATTAAATCACTAACCCCCACAGAAAATAAATTTGTTTTTCCCCCCTAATTCTTTTGTTGTGCCAGGATAGGCCTGCTTTCCTTTGAGAGATCTTTCAAGCTTGATATATTTTTATGATCTGCACCCTCCAGCCATTGCAAATACTCAGCTGAGTGGTAAACTTTATTCTCAAAAAGAAAGAAATTCCTTACCCTTACCCATCCCCCATCCCCCAACCCCCAAAACATGGAGTTTCTTTTTCTCATGTTTCTCCTAAAAGAGCTGGAATAATTGCATCAACTTAAAGATATCGATAAACAAGAAAATATATATATATATCAAGAAGTGTACAAGCTTGTGATCTCTTATCTTTACAATGGCTGTATACTAGAGTTCAAAGTATCAGCCTAAGCAATTACTTGGAAGCACTTTAGCACAACTTCAAAAACATGAATAAATCCCGCTTTTAACTGTATTTTTTTTAATTGTTTCTGAAAGCCAGTCTTGCAACATTGTAACAGATGTTATGTAACTCTGCGTAGTCCCCAGGGCACTAAGTCCTAAACATTTTAACTTAAACATATTCTCTCAAAGGATGATCTTTCAACTCTATATGCCACCTTTACCCAAGGCTATTTATTCTCCACCACGAGTTGGCGAGTCACCTTCCAAGGGTTTGTTTCTTAATCCGCGAAGGTTCCGAGGAAAGTAGGGACCTGCCTGCCTGGGACCTGTCTCTCCTGTAACATCATCTCACCCTGCCCTGCCCCTTTCTCTTTTTTTTTCCAAAGTCTCCTTCCAGGCGAGGCCAAGACCTCAGCTTTTCTTAAAAACAGGGAGCAGCCTGCTGCCAAGCACTCGGTATCTGTCTGAACGGCGCTGGGCAGCCCGGCCCCCAGAGCATCAGGGCAGGACCCGAACGGTCCTCCCAACGCGGGACCCTCCGCGCCCGCGGGCGGGAGGTGCCTCCGGGCCACCGGGCACCGTGTGAAACAATGGGTTCGTGTCAGCCGCTATCGGGGAAGCACCCAAACTCCTCCAACTTGCAAGACAGCTCCGGGATGCCGAGCCGGGAGCCGGGGCGCTCCCGGGCTAGCGCTGCCCAGGGTCCTGCCAGTAACGCCCCCGGGGGAAGTGGAGCGAGCGGCTCCCCGGTCCAGCCCGCTCTCCAGGAGAGCGACGAAGACGGGAAGCCGACTCCATGACAGCCTCTCAGCCCCCTCAACTACATTCACGCCCGGAACAGCTCTGGAACTACCGAGAGAACAGCTCCAGGCAGGGTTTAGGCGTTTTACCTTGTATTTCGGTCCCTGCCGATCGCCATGTTTCACAGAAGCCCGGGTCGCTCGGGTTCCCGTTTGCCCAGAAATATCGCGAGAGCCAGGGCGACTCCCAATGCTGAAGGCGGCGAAGGGAGACAATACAGACTTCTCGCGAGAAGTCGTTTGCTGACGCGGTGTGTTGTGAATCGAGAGGCGGGGTCAGAGTGAGAGGGGCGTGGCTAAGCCGAACAGAGGTTGCTGCTTAGTTTAGGTGTCACCACGTGGCCAGAAGGAATCAGCTTCTCCAGGAAGGGTATATAGATTTACCTTCTGACTGACCCTTAGAGACCAAAGAAAGAATCTGTCTCCACTCCTGCTACTCTCCTTCATTTCTGATGAAAGGCTTGGGCGCAGGATTTATCATTTGCAATTCTAGTACATCTTACTCCATCTCTGCACCACGCCCCCCCCCCCCCCCCCCCCGTCTTTGCCTCCTTATTTCCTACCATTGAGACTATTTAAACTTCATTTTCCAGACTTAGGTAACGTTTTTAATAATTGCTCAATGTGTTTGTCTTCCGGATAGTATGCCCCTTAAGAAAGCATATCTTCCTCACCCTTTAATTGCCAATACATACTTTGCAGTCAAATATTTCTTGAGAAGGTATTTCATCTTTTCCTAACACTTCACAGTGTAAGGGGTAATATTATAGAAGGAAGGGACTTTGGAAAGAAAGGTTAAATGGGAACTATTTGAGAGTAAGCACATCTGTTATATTTTCTAATCCAACATTGAGGTTTTAATTTTCTGATTGGCCAGAAAAGTCTTAAAAAGGCATATTGGGGACTAATACTTAAGCATTGTTTTTCCAGTAAGTTCTGCTTTAAATGCTTTATTTGCCTTATCTCATTTAACAGTGTAAGGTTATACCATTATTTAACTGTTTCATAAATTAAGAAATTGAGTCAAGTGGCCATTAAGCGACTTACCCAAAGTCAGATAGTTAGGAGAGGCAGGGAAATAATGATCACAACACTAAATTGACCTTTTATTTAGTGAATTAACTTTTATTGAAACACTAATTTTACTAAATTGAAACTATCTTAGAATATAAGGACAAATAGTTTTCACTGATGCAATTTCACTTCTAAACTTTCCTGTCAGGATTAGTCCAAAAATGTTAAATCAACTTTAAGTTGATTTATTTCTACTTGCCTCACATCTTTTAAGCAGCAGCATAGTGTACTGGTTAACACCATAGACTTAGTTATTTGCTTCCTAGTTCTTGGCTACAACTTAGAAAAAGAGGTAGATTAAATGTTTTGTAAATAATTGAAATGTCCTAAAATTTTAACTAAAAATTTAAAAATCAATGATAAGCGTGATAAATAATTTCTTTAATGTCCATTGCTCATTGAAATTGTGAAACTTACAGGGATCTTTCCTACCTGACTGCACGCAGGGTATTGTTCTATGTGAATAAAATTAATAATTTTATGGGCTTAATAACATTTCTAGTACTTACCAAACTAGAAAAAAATAGTAAAAGTGTATATTATAATATTCAACTATGGTATATACATGATACACTAGATATGAACTTAATGACAATGCAGATACCAAGTTCTCAGGAGGCATGAAGCAACATTAACTTTCTGTGACTGTTTATTACTGAACTAGGGGTCCCTCAGCCTGTCCTGCACCCTCTCCAATCCTGGACTCCTCAGGGGATGTCTAACTGCCGATTTAAGCCCCATCCCACAGGGTAGTCAGACATCCCTCTCACAATCCAGGACTGCTGGCTCCTAACCACTTGCCTGCCTACTGGCTAGATCATCACCTAACACTCCCCTGCCAGCCTGATGGCCCCCAACTGCCCTCCCCTGCTGGCCTGATTGCCCCTAACCACCTCTGCCTTTGCCCCCACCACCATGGCTTTGTCCAGAAGGAAGTAAGATGGTAGGAAGATGTCCTGTCTCCCAGTCTAATTAGCATATTAACCTTTTATTAGTATAGATGTATGAAACACACCAAATCCAAGTTCCTCAATACAAGGGTTGGGAGATGTGACGTTGAGTTTTTTAGTACTGACAAGAGACTTATTTTTTAAGTATACTGTTATAACACAGTTCCACCTTGCTGCTGTCTCAGTGGTCACGCTTCTCCTTCAGTGACAGATGTGATCCAATCCCTCTGTGCAGAAATTCTGGTGAAGACCTTTGGTGCAGTGAAATGGCTGTTACTCCTTCCCCAGCTCACAATATCGATGAGCTTGTGCTGCCCATCCTGGGTGCATTGCAGCAGTCCTGCAGACTCTCCCTGCAACCATCAAAGAGAGTTCTCCTGTCTGTGTGATCTATAGTTGAGACTACCCCCGAATGCACAGGATGATCAGACAAGGCACAAGTCACTCTTTCATCTCTTACTTCTACTCATAACAACAGGTTGTTGGCAGATGTTACAGATATCTGAATCATATCAAAATCTATATTTTCAAGGAGAGGCTAAAAGATACACTGAGTATAAATTAATTCAACTGACAATAAAGTATGCCATTCAGAGAACTTCAAGCATCTACTTAATACAATGGCTAAATAATAGTTTTGAAAGCCTCTTTATATTTTTAGTGCTTCTATAAGTGGGCATGTTGAGCTACCTAATTCGGCTATGAAATAAACCATAAGAAATTATCATTTTTGTAGATCTAATACAGTTGCATATCTCCAATTTCACATAGTTCAACTAAGCAAATGAAGAATTCCTTCTGAGAATTGAATTAACTTCAAGTATCAAATTAACAATCTCAGCACATCAATTTAGCAATGTACTTATTCTTCTCACTTTTGATTTTAAAATTACCATACTTCTTTATTGTCAGCAAACAACCATTCATGAGATACACTAAAAAAACTCCTATACTCATCAATGCAATACTTGAATTACCACAAATGAGGATGATCCTGCAGCCCCTTTACCAGAATTGGTGTTTTTAATGCCCAATCCCCAGTAGCTTCAACAAAATGTACTACTGGTCAATGGTACCTCTGTTTGCTGCACAGTTTCAGAAAATTCATCTTCTAGTAGAAAAGGAATAAAAACATATATAACAACCTATAAATGCTTTTAAGTGAAAAAATAAAAATAACCATATATATATATTTCAAAGATTAAGTCCCCTTATTCATTTTTTTAAAATATATTTTATTGATTTTTTACAGAGAGGAAGGGAGAGGGAGAGAAAGTTAGAAACATCAATCAGCTGTCTCCTGCACACCCACTACTGGGGATGTGCCCGCAACCAAGGTACATGTGCTTGACAGGAATCGAACCTGGGATCTTTCAGTCCCCAGGCTCACACTCTATCCATTGAGCCACACTGGTCAGGCCCCTTATTCTTTCCTTTCAGCAATGTAATGATATTGTTAGGTGATTTGTTTAAACACACACACACACACACATACACACACACACTGATACAGGCAATCCTCTGGTTATGTCAGAGTCTACGTATATCATTTTGTGGTTATGTTGCCATCTCCCATTTATTTATTAAAAAAGTTCCGTCATTTCGATGTATGTACATATGTGCTTTATGTTTTTTATTATCTATTTACCACAAGTAAAGGTCAATGGTACGTGTGTGAGTGCATGTGTTCACAATGCAATTAGAGAGTAATTATATGTAAATTAGACACACAACTATTTATTAGGTAATAAAAGAATATATATATATATATATGTTTGTTTGTTTGTTTGTTTGTTTTTTACTGTTTCACTAGATATTCTCCAACACAAATGTTTACAATTATCAATGAATTACTATCAGTGAACTAACATCAATAAATATGATGGCCTAAAACTCAAATCAGTCACCTTTAGATCCATTATGAAAAAGACTTTTTTCTACTATCATTTTTACTAAAAATACAGAAAAATTGAAAATGAATAGACAGTATACTCAGACTACACATACATTTGTTTGGTTTCTAATCTTGGAAGAGGTAGTGAATATACTCACAATGTGGTTCAGTTAGCCCCCATCCAGCAGTCATAATATGGAAAGTCCATTTATTTTATTGTCTTTTCCTGGCAAACAGGAGAAACAAGCTTTCCTAACCAAAAAGATGAGAAAGTGGCAAATACCATTTAGTCCATAGGGTTGGTATTCACATTGCTTTTCAGCGATGATTCTAGAAATACCTGCTCTTACCTACAAAACCTTTTTTAACTCTGTAACTTAACAAATCTCCCAGAAGATACCTATTAATTACCTAGAAGGCATCATCCCAGTTGAGATGCTACTACTTTGCTCCAGGTAGTTCCACACCCTCCCAGGACAGTAGGAACACATGCCCTACGACTGGGATGTGGGGTTCCTGGATTCTCATCTACAATAGATTTTTAAAATCTGTCTGCCTTTTTGTCCACGTACTTCCAGGACACCACCTTGTTGAATATGAGGTGATAATGGAAGAGAATATAATTATCTCCTCTTTTCAACTATATAACATGAGGAGTGGGGAAAACCACATTTGTAGCAATTTAAACATTTTATGAATCTTATAGCTAACTAAAGAGCAGGTTCATGGACTTGGCCTGGCCTGGGGGGGATCGGGCCAAAACCAGCTCTCCAACACCCCCCAAGGGGTCCCAGATTGGGAGTGGGTGGTTCTCCAGTGACACACGCTGGAATCGGGCTGGTCATCCGAGAACCGCAGCTGCCAAGTCACTGCAGCTAAGCTGTTCCTGCATTGAGCATTTGCCTCCTGGTGGTCAGTGTGTGTCAAAGCTACCAGTTAGATAGTCAAAGAGTTGGCCAGTTGGCTGGTCGCTTAGGCTTTTATATATGTAGATAATTATTTATATTTAATTTTATATCTAATAAAGACATGCTACAAACTATATTTATCTATTATACACTTAAACTTTCCCCTTTTTCTTACAAAATTTGGGTACACATAAACATTGTGCATTTATATATGTGTCTCTGTGTGTATACACAAAACACCAAATGCAGGGCTCCTGGTTGGTTTACCATGTTGTGGTTTACTGTTGTTCCCTTTCTAAGAATGATAAAGCCAAGGTTCAGAACAATTACATCACCTGCTCAAGACTGCCTGACTACTAGTTGATAGGGCCAGGTTAACACTTTCATGGTAGATTTGGTTTAAATAAAC